GGTGTTGATTTTTCCTGGGGTCGTTGAAGCTCGTAATTATCGTACTCTTTCCCGAGCAATGTGTGCCTGCGGTCTGGCGGGTTGGTGCTGTCAAAGACTATACGCGCATTGGTTGCGAAGAGTGGGCACGATGATCATGGTCCGCGGGTGCAGGGAATTGGCAGTATGGAAATTAAGGTCGAGAAGACAAGACAAGCTTGTATCCGTAGAGGATCCGTAGGGAGGTGCGATGCGAGGTAGGGGTAGACCGTTGGCCTGGTGTATTGTTTGTGTATGATGGGGAATTATTTGGAAACGAACCCGCGGATGTTGTGACGGTTTTCGAGTTTATGCGATGCAGACGGGGCTCCGTTTAATGTTGTTTCTTGCTTGGGGGAGGTGGTGCAAATGCAAAGTGCAAACATGACAAGGTGTACTCCGTATGTATGGATGAATGGGTCAGGTCATGGGTAAGAGAGAGAAAGAGGGGGAGAGAGAGAGAGAGAGAGCAGAGATCGGTTCACACTTCACGGAAAATGGTAAGTTTGCAATTTCTTTGGAGACGCTGCCGGAGCCGAGGATCCCAAATGAGAAAATGAAAGTGAAAATCCGAGCAGGAAGGAGCTCCCCAGGTTCTGGTCCTATGTGGTTGCCACCTTGATTTCTATTCGTACCTTTCGTACCTCCCCAAATCGTCAGTTTTCCATTCTGGCGGCTGGCCAAGGCAAGAACCCCAAGCCGGAGCTCTCTTTCCACGAAGAGCGTCATCGTCACTGGAGGCGAGGCAAGTTCCTGGGCCAGGCCGGCACCTTTCCTCCTTCCTTCCTTGGCTTGAAACGGAAGAGCACAAGGGGTACCTCAAAGTGTTAGTGCATCTCATTACATAAGCTTTTGTACCTTACCTTACTACCTTATTACGTACCTTGCACAGCAAGTTGTTATCTCCTCCAGTTCTCGCATCCTCATAATCCTCTCCTCATAACCCTCAAAATAACCAAGTGCACACTCACATTGGCATAACCCCTGATGACTTCCATCTGCCCGCTTCCCGACAGTGGTCCATTATTACGAGCGGCCTGGAATCCCTCAGAATCGGGAATCTGGGGCCGTCAATCTGGCCAGCCCCAATGGAGCCACCCATATACGGAGTACTGTGTACGGAGTATGTACACCATGTTACGTATTGCTGCATTATTCGACGCCCGCCACCCGTGATCCGGGAAAGACACTGCGCTGCTATTTTTGTTCAATGGCATCTCTTTTTCGATGGATCTATTGGCGACTGCGCAATCCCAAAATGCAATCCCCATTCCATCCCCACGCCAGTCAGTCTACCAGCCCATGACTTTTCCACCTTGGAATTGCGCCTGGGACCTGGGACCTGCATCGGGATGATTCCGACAGATGCTCCCAAAGTCAATCTCCCCAGGACCCAGGAGGCTGTGGCTGACTGGGCCGTGACTGCCCCGGCCCTTAACAGGAACAAGTATCGTCTCCTGAGTTTCCGACTCCCGCCTCGGCTCAGATCACATCTCACCACCGGCCGGCCAGCTCCCATTCCACTCTAGCCGGATGCACGAGCACCACATGGTCTCTGGCGTAGGTCGAACCAGAGAGCCCAGCAGATCCCAACCAGCGTATCAACGGCTGGCCCGGAGCCTTTCATCCCACCTTTCTCACCCACTCAGCCCGACCCAGGCCTCCCAGTCCGCTCTCCTCCTGGCGATGCATGCACGTCTGGCAGATTCGCAGATGGTTTTCCCAGCAAGGTTTCGATGGCTGGCCCGATTCGGGGCGGTTGTGGCCGTTGGGTTGCCCGTTTGGATCAGGTGCTGGCTTGGGGGAACCATACCTACGTCAGGGGCCTCTGTAAGCGCGAATTGTGTCTCGCGGCTTACGGCTTACGGCGTGCAGTGGCCCTTCTTCCTCCTTCATCATGATAGGCCCGTCTTTAGAGCGACGAGACACCGCGCAACTGGATATTGGACAATGTCCCTCTCGACCGATTGTTAGGGCGGGGACAGGTGGCAGCCACAGCACACCCAGGTTCCAACACTCGCATACACAATATAATGCCCAAGTTCCTGGGTTTCTTTGACATGCATTTTGCGTCATCCAGAATCTCTCTGAATGTTGGTTTGTCTCAGTTGCGCCGCTTGCTGTCATTGTTCCAGTCTGGATTGACGAGTCACTCACTTCCTACTTACCATCCAGACGTCGCGCTGCTATGGCTTGTCTATTGATCAGCATATCAAATTTGACAATACAAGTGACGACCGATGGCTTGAATGCTTTGATAATGTTGATTGCAAATACCTATTCTTACGGTATAATGGCCTGCTTGATTGTTTCGGTGCTTTGTATTATGTGCCGTGTTGTGGTACAGCAGGACTGGTCTCTCCACACAAAAGCCGTCTGAAGTCTCTTTTGGATTCTCTAGCAACATCATCGAGATGTCATTAGTTGGAGTTGGTAAAGCTAGCTTCCAGCAAGTCGCTTGAGGCAATTACTAGCACCTGGTGACGTGGGATCAATCTCTTCGCTTCCTTTTGACCTTGACAATTTTGGCAAGGTGCGTTGGTGGCCACCAGCGGGAGGAGGACGTTTTGGCGAGCAAAAAGCTTACGTACTCCAACCGGCCCATCCAGGCCCCTTTAGCCCCCTTCTAACTGGAAACGTACCAGTGACCACCAAGCATCGTCCCTCCCGCACTCATTGTCCATTTCCCACCTGACTGCAACCGGAGAAGAGAACAAGCGGGGGCCATCTCTTAGCGACTCTGGGGAAACCTCCGCGACCGCAACACCCGACCCAACCACCGGCTACCGAATATCAAAGGCCGGTTCGTTGGACCTCCTCCGTACCTCCATCGGCGCATGTCCGTACATCCCTCCACTTGCCTCCCCTACCTACCACCGTCTGCATCGGTCTCAGGCGGCCGCGTGATCCAGAAGCCAACGTGCGGACGGCCGACTTGGACTAGAAAACTCCCCCAACGTCCTCCGATCCGGAACAGGCACCGGCACCGTCCCTTGACACATCACCGGCAGCCTACCTGTTGCCTACAGTTCTTTGACGATGGACGAGTCTTCACTAGTCAAGGTATCCTCAACCTTTAAATAAAAGGCAACTGTGAAAGAATGTCTAGCACCTGTACTAACAACAATCAACCACCCTAGGCGCATGACCACGCCAAAGCAGCCTCCAACGCCCAACACCAGTCCGAGACGACGGTAGCAATCAACGAACACGCCCTCGCCGCCGGCGAGTTCGCCAACGCAGCCCGCGCAACCTCGAGCATCGAGGCCCTGCGCACCCTCAAGCTCCTCGAAGAGCACCACCAGCGCCTCGCCGAACTCCTAAAGATACCCTACGACCGTCGCGCCGCCGCCGCCAGCCAGAACCCCTCCTCCGAGACCATCGACGAGAAGCAGGAATCGCAAGCCTCCGATGCCACGAGTGATGTTTCCTCACCCGATGATGGTCGCACCAAGTCCGGATCAGGCCAGCAGCCCACCGGCGCCGGCAGCCCAGTTGCTGCCGTCAAGGGAGTTCCGTCCCTGGCGGCGCAACAGCGCCGCTACCCAAGCCGGGAGATGACCTCGTCGATCGCGAGCAACCTCGCCTCGGCGCGAGGCATCCGCGGAAGCAGGAACCGGAGCCAGCCCATCCCGCCGAGCGTCACAAACGACCAGGCGCCAGGCAATATGGAAGTCCAAGCCCGCAGAGACGGATCGAGGACAAAGATGCAAAACGTCCTCGACCAGTCCGGCAAACCAGGCTGGATCCCGCCAACGGGCACCAACGACTCCCCACGAAGGGAATCCGAACCCAAAAAGGCGGAAGAAGTCGCCTCGCCGACCAGCGACGACGGATACTCCCGCTTCTACAGCACCTTTGGCAACATCATCAACCGCCTCTCCGCGCCCCTCGCCTTCGCAGGCCTACCCCTCATCACCGAAGAATCTTCTTTATCCTCCACCTCATCTTCCATCCCCGAACCCCACGCCGAGATGCCCCCAGAACCGGCCCCAGCAAAGCGCAACAGACTCAAACCCTCCCCAGCAGCCCCCGCCGAACCAGACCTCTCCAAGATCTACTCCCGCGCCACCCTCCGCGCAATCTCGGCAAACAACCCCAACGACTCCTTCTACGTCGTCCCGACGAGCGGGCACACAATGTCCTACGCCAACATCCTCAACTTTGCAGACAAGGAGAAGCGCCGCCTCGAGGCCTCACTCCACAGCGGCGTCGGCGTCGGCGGCGGCGGCAGCGGCGCAGGCGACAGCCTCATCGAAGACGACGAGGACGACTTTGTCGACGCGCGCGAGTCTCCGTCCGTGATGGCGCCAACCTCCCCCGGCGTCCGAAGACGCAACGCCAAACCCCGGACAGAACAGAACCTCAAAAACACAGTCGAGGAACTCTACCTCGAAAACAGAGGTCTCAAAGATATGCTTGACAAGCTCAGCAAACGGCTCCACGCCTTCGAGGCTACGGCGCAGAATTCGAGTCTGGCGCTGGCGGAGAGTATTCGTCTTCGACGGCCTGGGTCGCCTGCGACGGCGGGGGTGACTACTACTACCCCTTTCACAACCGGTGGTGGTGTTGGTGCTGGCGTCGGCATGTCGAGTACCGACGCCGTGTTAAAGGCGCGGAACAAGGAGCTCGAGGAACAGATGGCCATGGCAATGCAGCGCATGGAGGCGCTGGAGAAGGAGAACCGCACAATGGCGCGGACGCTGGAAAAGTATCGCGAAAAGTGGGAGAAGCTGAAAGCTGGTGCCAAGGCGAGGCGGCAGGCGCAAGAGGGGGCAGGGGAGAGTGCCGAGGCGGACGAGGCTGCTGCTGCTGCGAGTTGATACTGTAGTTGCCCCTCCTTGACGAAGAACATTTGACGCAGAGGACATGATGGAATGAAAATATGAACCCGAGGCTTGTTGTACCTCTTCCACAGAGGTATCTCTTCTCAAGCTATAAAAGTAAACACCTCACCTAGATTTAGACTCTCTCGAGGCGTGACATCAATCATCTGCTCTCCTCGTCCTCCGGACCAACGTAGTGGTCCCCGTTCCACCAAAAGCTCACGCTGAAACTCACACTCAGACTGCGGACGTAGTGCCACCACCCGATGGGAATATACAGCACCTCTCCCGGCCCCAGAACACAATCCCAGTACCGCAGGCCGCGAAACTCCTCGAGCTCCATGGGATCGCGGCCCTCCGTGTCCGGATCCCAGCCCTCCACGGCGCCGACGTCAAAGGCGCTGGTGTTGCTCATGTCCACCTTTTTTACTCCCTGGCCTCCCTTGCGCTTTCCATCTAGATCTTCATCACCTTCTCCTTCTTCCCTATCGTCGTCATTTTCCACGGCATCATAGTCGTCATCAAACCCCCTAGGACACAACGCCTCCGAATCCCGCGGCGCATATAACCGCACATACTTCTCCCCAACGACCTGACACAGCAGGTTATGATACCCATCCGTATGCAACGGCGTAATCGTCCCCGGCGGTCCAAACCACGCATTCACAAGCGGCACATCCAGCTCCGGCTTGTTTGCAGTCTTGTCGAAAGGGTGCGCCGGCGGCGAGGTAAAGCAGTGGTCCGGCGTGAGGATGTCGTTTAGCAGGTGCGGGAGCTGCGCGAAGAGTTCGTGTTGGGCGAGGTATGTCGTCCCCTTTTCCGGTCCTGGCTCTGGTCCTGTCCCTATCGTTGTGTGTGTTGATATTGTCGTCGTCGATGTAGTAGATGGTGAAGCAGACGTAACAACGCGCGCGACCAACTCCCGAAACGGAATCAACTCCTGCGTCCATCCCTCATCAACATAACTCCGCCCAACCTCCACCGGCACAAGTCTCCGCCCGCCGTGCGTCCTGGACATCAAGTACGCAGGCGAAGACCACAGTCTCGTGGAGAGCGCAGGCCACTCGTTCATCAGCGATGTAAGGACCAACGGCTCCGCCAAGTCCAGATCCTCGTCTGCCTTCTCCGGGTGATTCCGGCCGTCCAAGTACGCCTGGAAAGCCGACATGGACATACGATCCAAGACGCGAATAGGCTGCTCAACAGGCGGTGTGAACGGGCGCGAAGAAGGGAACTTCGCTGGGAAAGGTGAACCCAACGAAGACAATGATGTTGGCGGCGCGTCGTCCAGGTACCCAAGCAACCTCGAAATTGCCCTCCTCCCACGCTTCAATCCCGCCCCGCCAGCGAGGATGAGCGCTTGATCCAGCACGGCGACGAGCTCATCCAGCACTTTTCCCTCGTCCTCGTCTTCGTCCTTTTTCTCTTCGTCCCCTCCTTCCATCTTCCCACCCCGCTTCCTCCCCCCTCCCTCCCAATCCCGCCCCGCCCTCCTAGCATAATACAAAAACACCACCGCCGAAAACTTGAGCAGACTCAGCTCCGTATACAACAACCTCCAACAAAACGGCAGGTCCGCGTAGACATAGTCATAAAACCGGCGGTAGGTCCGCTCAATCTCTGCGTCGAGGCGAGCAATCACAGGCTCCGAACTCTTCTCTTCCTCATCCGCCTCCGGTCCCGACGACGGTGGTGGTCGTGGTGGTCGTAATGTTGATGTTGACGTATAATCGTCCCCATCCAAACAACCCCCCGCCGACGCGCGCAACCCCAAAACCTCAAAAGCCAACCCCTCCACAACCCTCAAAATATCCTTTCCGACAGGTCTCAGCCCGCGCTCCGCATCGCTCTCAAGTCGCAGCTGCTGCTGCTCCGGTTGTGAAGAATCAGAGTACGAAAGCGGAGACCCGGCGCGGAGGTGGTCGACGACTTCGGAGTGAATTGATACCGCTGTTTCGCTGCACTCTGCGATGAGGGCGGGGTTATCAAGGATGGACATTTCGGCTCCCTCTTTTGGGGCCTTTTTCTTACGTTCCTTCTCTCTCCTTTTTTCCTCGCTTTGCCTTTTCTTGATTTGTGATATTAAAAAAGTCATGTGTGGAATCAGTTGGGTAAGTTGGATGGCAGGTGGATGGTAGTTGTTGAAGCTGAGTAGCCAATTGTCAAAGGCCCTCTAAGAAAAAAAGTTGGAGATGTTTGGCTGAGCGGGTCTCGTCTGATGATAGCAACTGCTTCCTGCATTTTAGCTCGGGAGCATGTCGGATGAACACCACTGGCTTCAAACGGTCGCCTTCCCAAAGTAAAAAAAACAAAGGAGCCTGGAAGGAGATTGATTATAGACCTTGACATTATGACGTCCAGATATAAACATAGGCCACCTCGTCGCATTTCCTCAGCATATCATTAAGACATTCCTTTCGCACCCTCTGCCTGTGTCATAATCGCGTTGAATTCGCTCTGTTGAAAGGGGTTCTATATACTCTAACATGTCCATACTCCTACAATCCCGTCCTGTCGTCCCTCAACTAGGTAGCCGTCCTTGACACGTACACGCTCTACAACAGCCGGCGTCTTGCCCTCTTCGGCCTCGGAAATGCCCGCGCCGCAGTCCCATTGCCGGCCTTCCACCTTATCGTACACCTTCACCACGTCCTCGCCTGCTGCGCTGACGATTCTCCGCTCATCAAACATCATGCTCGTGATGGCGTTGTCGTACGCGTAGGCGTCATATATAGACCCTGTACGGAGATCCCAGATCTGTTGATGGTTAGCGATGCTCTCTGACTTAGAAAAAGGCCAAACTCACTCTAATGCTCCTGTCCATGCTACCAGTCACGAGGTGAACATCATCGAATTGCAAGCAGGTCACCGGTCCTGTGTGTCCCACTAGGCTTCGGTGAACCTGTCCGCTTCGCAAATCCCACAATCGAACCATGCCATCGGCAGTACCGCACGCAAGAGCAGTCTCGAAGACTTGCAGCGCACCGATGAAATCGGCCTGCTGTGCGGGTGCCCGATTCGTCTGCCTCCAGGAGCTTTCACTGCCGAGAGATGCAGAAGCCTGCGCTGCCGCCCACATAACGTCCAGAGTCTGGACGCATCGGCCCTTTTCGAGATCCCATTGTCGCAACGTCTTGTCTGCCGAGCCGGACACGAGCGTGTCGTTTCTGAAGTGGAGCGCCGTGATTTCGTCGACATGAGATTGCAGGGTGTAAAGGTGGCAGTCTCTCATGCTTCCTTCAGGAGGCTCGACCGGTCCATCGTCGGGGTTCTCAAATGCGATGCCGTCTTCATCTTCGTCCCTTCCGTACTGGCTTCCGTGGGGATCATAGTGTGCCTTGCTCAAGTCCCAAAGTCGAATCGTAGCGTCCATGCCGCCGGTTGCGAGGAAGTTGTCGTCCACTTGCAACGTGCGAACTGAGGCCGTGTGTCCATCCAGCAAACCGATGCATCGTCCAGCATTAAGATCCCAGACCCTGATCGAGTCGTCCATGGCCGAAGTCACCATTGTTCCGAAGGGTGAGTCAAAGTCGAGAGCCGTAATCGTGTCCTGGTGCGCGCGAATTTCCCTGATAGCCGTGCCAGCCTCGAAATGCTCATGCAAGATTGGCATTGATTTCCGGCGGACCACCCTCTTCTTTGCCTTTGATGCCGGCGTACCAGCCGTCGTTGGGAGCTTCTCGTACACCGATTGTGACATGAAACCAGAGTCGTCCTCACCAGCCAGATCTTCCTCAGTCTTCGTGGGTGTGTTTATCGCAATCGACTCGGCTTCGTCTGCAAGCTCTTGGGCGTCTTCTAACCGTGTCTCAACATCCATGACTGAGTTTCGTTAGTACCAGACGAGCCACTTAAGAGCATACATGATTGTGCAACTCACGGTCATGTTCCAGCAATGTTTCCTCCTGCTCCAAGTTGGCCAGTCTGTCCAGGATGATCCGGCGCATACCGTGCAGATTGGCAATCTTGTTGTCAATGTCACGAATCTCACTACTTGCCATGTTCTTGCGAACACCCAGCATCTCTAACTCGTGCATCATCGAGGCCTTGTCTTTCTTCAGATTATGCAGCGCCTGCGGTGTACCGGCAGTGTTTTCCGTATCCTCCAAAAGCTTCCTGCCCCTCGATACCCGCCGTCGGTGCTTCCTACCTTCTTCCGTCAGGTCCGGAAAGCTTGCTTTGAAGCCCTGGAAGAGAGAGTAGGAATTGTCGCTCTCGGGAATGTTCGCTAACAGTTCGTCGGGCAAATACGTCAGAGCGCGATGCTGGATCTCCGTCGTGGACAACTTGGACCGGACCATGTCTGTCGGTGTCGTTTTGGCCATGGAGAACATGCTCCGTTGGATAGTTGGCCGCCGAAGCTGCTTGTGGACCTCGGCCAGGGCGCCATGGTAGTGGTGATGATTATTGTTCCCTTGCTCGGACAGAGGACCCATCAAATGGCTCGCTGTGGACGTGACCTTGCGCCCGAATGCTTCTATACCGCGAGTCTACCAATGCGGCACTTTGGTCAGTCATCATATCACGACGAACAAGTGGTCACGCGAGTGGCAAAGGTCGACTCACAGACAGGACGGATTGGTCGTCTCCGGCGGCCGCATCGTCGTGGAAGCCATACTGGTCGTGATCCGAGGCGGCCATGCGTACGTGTGTGCTCCCGTCCGATGCGCGCGACAGTGAGTGGCACAAAGGGGGAGGAGGCAAGGAAGAGGACACGAGTCGGGAAAGGAGAAAAGGTGGTGATTTCGTAGCTGGGCGTTGTGGGAACAGCTCGGTCCGGATTGTGCTTCTTTTTGACGGGGTCGAGTTTTGTCGTCTCGGTCGAGAATCAGATACGTATCCACACTCCAAGCACTGATCCCGGCAAGAACCCGGTTGGGGACGCCTCCTGTCTGGATGACGCGCTAAACACCCGAGAAGCTCCCTGCACGGGGCACACGGGCAACACGGGACACCTGGGCACGCTAACGCCCCGGTGTGGCCTACTTCATAGGGAGTACGAGGCTGCAAGATTTGGGGGGCCAATTCTATTGCAAAAAGGTGGCAGGGGTCAGTGATTGGTGCCCGCTTAAGCCACTCGATCCCTTGGGGGCAGCGACCTGCAGATGCAGTGCACGGGGGGTCCGGAGATGGGCAGCCTCGCGCTTGTGCTGCGTTGGGACGAGGTTTTTTTTTTCTTTCTTTTTTTCCTCCTCCCCAGGGTACCCGCCGCCCGGGAACTGGGCTTGCTAGGCTTGTCCCTTTTCGCTGGGAGCGTCATCGGCCTCGGTTGTCACCCGCCCGCACCCAGCCAAATCCTCACCACCGTCAAGCTTTTTACCCTTTATGACTCGACCATAAGCAGTCCGAATGCGTTACCCGCCCCAACCCGTCGTCCCAACTCCCATTGCGCACCAGCACAACATCCAGGGACTGGTCTATCAATATCCAACCGGCTTTCAATCAATTGACGACGAAATGGACTCCCTCATTGACCTATCGGACCCCTCCAAGGCGTTGGATTTGTCCCGCATTCGCTACCAGTTGATGTCGGTTCCCCCTCCAACCTCCAACGCTGTTTGTTGACCCCCTTTTCGTTGGTCACATCTAACGCCAACTACCAAAACAGTCGTCTCGAAGATACCATCACTTTTCACCTTATCGAGCGGGCTCAGTTCGCCCGCAACAAAACGATTTATGTCCCCGGCGCGCTCAACATACCAAACAGTGAACTGAGCTTCATGGACTGGTACCTGTGCGAACAGGAGAAGCTGCAGTCCATCATCCGCCGCTACGACTCTCCCGACGAGTACCCCTTCTTCCCCGAAGCCGTCCAGAAGCAGATCCTCAAACCCCTGCACTACCCGCGCATCCTGCATCCCAACGACGTCAACGTCAATAACCAGATCAAGGACTTTTACGTGGATAAGTTCCTCCCCGCACTCTGCCCCGATTTCGGCCGCGAGGATCGCGGCGAGTCCCAGGAGAACTACGGCTCCTCGGCCACCTGCGACATTGCCTGCCTCCAGGCCCTCTCCCGCAGGATACACTTTGGCAAGTTTGTCGCCGAGTCCAAGTTCCAGTCCGATCCGGAAAAGTACACAAAGCTCATCAAGGCCGAGGACCGCGAGGGCATCGCCGAGGCCATCACCAACGCCGCCGTCGAGAAGAAGGTCCTCGAGCGGCTCAGGCTCAAGGTGCTGACCTACGGCACCGACCCTTCCATCGGAGCGGGCCCGGAGAACCAGGCCAAGATCGATGCCGATGCCGTGGTGGCCATGTACAAAGACTTTGTGATACCCCTGACCAAGGACGTCGAGGTCGAGTACCTCATGCAAAGATTAGAGCCTGTAGAATAGACTACAAAATGAAAGAACATTTGCTCAAAATCATGTTTCTTCTTTTTTCTTTCCTGGTTTCCCCTTTCTATTGAGATGCACTCAGGTACTGCTCTACTGCCTGCACTGTACCCTCCCACTTGCTAGCCTCAATCAAGATTAGGTGGCCGTGCGACTTGACGCCCATCTCCTGGAACGCACGTTTGCTGTCCGCCACCGCCTTCTCCTCATTCGTGAACTGGAAGGAGCCGTGTGCCACGGCGTGCTTCACAAACACTTCGTCCTCGGGGTGGAAGTGCCACAGCGCCGTGTCCGCCTTGGCCTTCTTCCCCTTCCTCTCCGTCTCGGTGAGCGTCGACTCAATCTCCTGGTACGTCTTGGACAGGATCAGGTAGTGCGTGAACTCGTAGGGCTCCTTGTCCTCGACCGCGGCCTCGATCTCGTCGACGAGCATGCGGTACATGGGCGGCGCGATCTCCGAGGGCATGTTGATGAGCCTCTCGGTCAGCACCAGGCCCACCTGCGTGCCGCTGTCGTTGAGGACGCGCGGGACGGCGGCGGCGAGGGCCGGGTTCGTCTGCGACTTGTCCACTATGTACTTTGCCAGCTCCGCCATGGCGGGCTTCTGGCTGTGCTCTTGGACGTTGAGCGCCGTCATGAGCGCGTAGGCGTCGTTCTCCTTGCCGTCGACCTTGACTGTCGAGCCGATGGTCGGCTGGGACAGGATGAGGTCGGCGAGGCCTGAGATGTCGAAGAGCGTGGAGTCGACGTCGAGCAGCTGGCGCAGGAGCGTCTTGGTGCCCTGGAAGTCGACCTCGGGGTCAAAGTTGAACCACTCAAAGTCGACATTGACGACATCAAAGTCCTTGTAGGCTGAGTGAGTAGGCTGGTCTCTGGTGAGGGAAGAAAAATGAGTCGTCTCTCACCTCATCGTCGGAGCTCTCGTCGGCCATCTGGACATCTTCCGCAGGCTTGGCCTCGTCTCTCTCTCTCTTCTTTCCCATCTTGAAATATTGTGCTGTAATGCAGGGATACGATGACTGAGTGGCGGGTTTGTTGCGAAGAAGCTTGGATTGTATGGGTTATTCGCAAGGCTTTTGACTATGAGATTGTCACTGTACGCAGGCACACAGGTACCTTGGATGGCGACCGCATCGGTGAGGATGAAATTTTTGGTGGGGGGTGCCCCTCACTAGACTTATTTGGGACCAGCCGGCAAGACGGCCCCGTTCTTATCGATAACGGCGCCGCCGCTGTTCGGGTTCCCGGAGTGGGTCTCCGCTTTGTTGTCAAGTCTTGGAACTCCTTCTGCTCGAGTCGTCGTTGGCAAACGTCTCGCATACCTCAAGCATGTATAGGGCCATTGCTGGCATTGCCTTATTGACGCATTTCAATCTTTGCGCGAATGGAACGGTTTTGCGAAATGACCAGGAATGCAGAGACTCTCGGGTTCAAATCCTATGCACTTTGGACAATAGAAGATTTACAGGAAGCAATCGAGCCAGCCCAGACATGGTAATGATTGTACTTTGCCCCTTGCCCTCCGATATCTTTGTGCCGAAGCGTAAGTATGGTTAAAATCTCACATGACCTGTTTCTCAGACTTGATAATCCTTCATTTTCATCCCATCACGAACAGTCGAATTTATCTTGAACACATACTTTCCGGAGCGATGCGGACATAAGACATCCTGCGATGCTTCGATAACGTCTTATTAATCTGCTCCGTATTCCTATCCATAATCTTTTTTTTGGTTTTGCTGCCATCTGTGAACCGTGTCCTCAGCCTCCGATGAAGGCCTACGACACGTCTCACTCTGGCGAAATGGAGAATGTTCTCATGGGTAATTGTACCTGAGGATCCCAAAATAATTCGATGACTTAACGACCTTCTTAGACGTGGCTTGGTCTATTCACCATCGTCATCTTTTCAGCCTTGTTCAACCTTCTGGCCTGCTGAAATGAGGCACTCTCGCAGGAAGAAACAAGCGCGTGTGAAAGGCACTTCGCGTAAGAAGGTGAGACTTTTCTTCGCAGTTGCGTAGCATTCAACGGCTCTGGTGTCTAACGAGGGTCTATTCAAAAACAGAGGCTCATGCTTCATCGCCGAGTGCTCGTCAGCACGATGCTCACGATAATGACGCCTCTGCCTCCGATACAGCCGACTCAGACTATGCCAGTAACCTGGATCTTATTCAGGTGAACCTCAAACGCTTTCCCGCTCGTATGGGCTGCCTCATCGAACACCTGCCACACATGGATCCTCCACCAGACGTCGTCGCCATCCAAGATCCTCCACCAGAATTCGGTTGGAAATCATGCCCAGGCTACAATATTGAGTATCTCCCGGCAAGGGAGCCTCTGGAGAAAGACAATCCGAAAACGACAGAAAATCCAGTTTTAGTCCAGCTCGTTGGCTTTCATGTTATCCAGTCGATTGATCCAAGCGAGTGGAGGATTGACTGGCGGGAACACGAGAACAAGCACTTTAGCTCGGTAGCTTCTTTGTTTCTCAATCCCCCCATGCGGTGAGATAACGATTTACAACGTCTACAACAACAAGCAATCCACTTCCATGTCGGAGCTTTTGACCGACGCGGACCAACCCGTCACCGGCGAAAATTCCATATTACTTGGCCACTTCAACCCCCACCACCCGGGCTGGGGTGGAGATGGGGTTGCGCAAGTTGAGAAGGACGCCGAAATTCTCCACTAGGCAAAAGCTATGGCAGGCATGCGAAACTTGTTACCACCTGGTCTGAGGACTTATTCACCATCGGCTACCGACTCTGGCGATTTTTCAACCACCATTGACTTGGCATTTGCCTGTCGGAGCTTGAGTCTCGGACTCACTCAACCCGAGCGCTGTCGGTACCTGGATTCGAATCAGATCATCGTCCCTCCATATCAGAGTCTCAGTTGAGCCCAACCGAGACAAGGAGCCACGCTTCAACTGGGAGAGAGCAAACGAGGAGAGATACTGCGAAGAAGTCGAGAAGCAATTGCGTACGATCGGCTTCCCAGATATCCGAACTCTGGATGCGGTTCATGATTACGCCAAAGCACTTGTTGTAGCCATCTACCAAACTGTGCGCCGCATAACCATAATTTCACAGACTCATGACATTGACTTTTGCCAGCCATTCGTGTTCGACAAGGAGTCTGACTACCATTCACAAGGGGACGACGTGGCCGGTGGAGGTTCAGATCTCTCAACAACAGCCACCACCATCTCGGTTGTCTTTCGATCGTGTGAGGCTGGTGCCCTGTTGTGAGTTGAAAGAATCATTCATTTGCTCTTTCATATCAATCTAACATACAATTTGATAATGCACAAGGCATGCCTGAATGTGGAAGTCAAGCGGTTGAGCGTTGTTTATGGTGTAGTTGTGAGTTGTGAGTTGTTTAGGGATCAGGGATCAGCAACGTCACTGTTTGACAGGTATGATCAGTGTTCAGGACGATGGCATGGTGCCTTTTGCTGACTAGCGCCTGGTAGATCCGAGTTTTAATACTCCCATCTTCTTCAACCTTGCCGGTGCCAGACGGGATAGTTGGAAACCATCGTCAGTAGGTTGACTTCAAGCTTCTGAGCGTCATTTGACTAACTCCTATCAAGGTCTACCAAGGTCGACGAAAAGCTAGGTTACAGTTTCTGGATACTGCTGTGGACAAGCAGAAAGGGGTACTTCATCAGGGTTCCGAAGAATACAGGGTTGCTCAAACACCCTTTTAAGGGCGGGCACTTTCACTTTTGTACCAGTCAGGGTACTGCCGAGCGAAGGAGTGGTTTAATTCGGTGTTGCCATTTTCCCCCGACGTACTCGTTAGGTTACGAATAAAAATTCTAACTGGGTGCTAAAAGTGATGGGGCTTCGGATGCCTCTATCTTTGCTTCCATGCTTAATGTGTTTGATTTTTGACCAGTTTGACGCGCTGCAAAGAGCCACCATCCATCAGCAGATATCTCAGGGAAGAGGGTTGCGTCCAGAGTCTAGAGAGGTGACTGCCTTTGCATGCCTGTCTGCCTTAGGTGCTCTAGTGCGTAAGCTTTAGGCAGGTACCTTCTGTGAAAGTTAATTTAGTGGGTTGCACCGACACACAGACGCCCTGAACGCGCTGACTTCATCATGGTGCAAGGCACTCCAGTCCGCATATATGAGGCCCGTCCCATCCCCAAGTCCTTGGGGTATGGTGTCTTCCTCATCCTCCACACTTGCTCACCTCAGTGTCAAGGCCAAGCCAGTTAACGAGGCTGTTCCCATCAATCCGACAATTTCGCCAGTGGGACTCTGACCAAGACTTGAGGAAACAGCTGACGAGATCACTATTGCATCATACTCTGGTCTAACGACATTCGAAGCAATGGCTGCCGCCTTCTTCAACTTCCTCTGCCTCCCACGAGAGCTACGAGATATTATCTATAAGCGTTACTTGGCAGTCGAAGGGGGATATGTTTGCGACTTGCAGGCTTTCATTGACGGCAAGGGGGAGGAGACCATGGCGGCCCCATCGACCTCAATCTCACATACGCGTACAGGGAAACGGCCCAAGAAACGGACGGCATGGCCTTGCGCGTCAATCAGATTACATTCAGCACCATTACCTCAGAAGGCTTGCGGATACTTGCCTCCCGCTTCTGATCTCTTATAGCCCGTGCTGATCAGAAACAAAATGCGATCTTTCGTACCGCGGGGTACTGCATCTCGGATGAGGCGTACGATGACTAAAGGGTAGATACCCGCAGTTCATTCCAGCCCTCGATCGCCTCCGAGCCGAGCAAGGCCAAATTCGACACAGTCCCGCGTCACGGGACGTTGGGCGAAGCGCCTGCCGCTGGCTCGGTCTCATCAATGATTCTACTAGTTCTAAGATTTCTCAGGTAATTTATACAATTTTTTGATAGAGTTAGGTGGAAGATATTACAGTCCTCCTCGTTTTCCAAGTGCTACTGTGCGCTCTGCGTCCGAGCAGCCTGTGAGATATTCTTCAGGGCACAGATCCTTTCGGACTGTACAAGAATTGATGCTCATACTGATCGTTAAGATGCAAGTCTTCTATGTGTACAAGTGGGATCATCTCCACACTGGAGATCGCCTTGCAGGCCTCCCTTCTTCAGCTCAAACCATGACCATCTTCATCTCACCATCTACTCTCAGAAAATCCCGCCCCGAAAGAGGAACAACAAGAAGTCACACCGGGCGATCATGGAATTCCCCCTTTACCAACACAAGACCACTACAATCCCTCGACTCTCTTCCCCCGGGCCCCCTCCTCATTCTCGCCATCATCGTTAACCCCTCCCACGCCGGCCTCCTCCGGAGGACCGGTCCTCTTCGTCACCGCCAACACGGTAGGTAAAACAAAGACCAGCGCCCCCATGCTCAACCCCCAATTCATCGTAAGCTGCGCCATGGCACTCGTGCGCTGGGCATTGATCCGCCACGCCATGGCCCCGCCCGCCGCCTGAAAGGCCTTATACGCGCCGACCAGGACCGCCGCCCGGCCCGTCGAGTTGGACTGCGCGCTTACGAGCTAGTAGCAGTACGACTACCACAGCGAGTCGTAGGCCCTGTACAACACGTACAACACCATTGGTCCAGCGGCTGTGGCGCCGCCGCCGTCGCCGTCCCGCGCAAAGTCGATGTCCTGCGCGTGGCCTTGGGCCCGCCGCGCGTCCTGCCACCGCTGGAACCGGTACCCACCGCCCCAGATGACCATGCCCGTGACGAAGAGGACGGCCCAGCCGAGGCGGGCGCGCGCTGGACGATCAAGGGCAGGCAGTTCGAGGAGGAGGCCGATGAGGAGGCCGCCAAGCATTTGGGCTAGCCAGTAGAGGGCGCCGTTGAGGAAGCGTATGCACATGGTAACGTTGATGTCGCATCACTCTACGGAAGCTTGGCTTCCCCAACACCATTCCTACCTACAACAGTTCCCCGCTAGCGTGACAGTTGATCTCCCTCGCTCTGTTTATTACCAAAAACGACATGATAACAAGAAGGGTGAGGCTACGGGGAAGCCGGACGAAAGAAGATAAGCTGAGGACCCTTCCGCCTTCTTTTCCGCATTATCCAGATTTTGTTCTCTATCGGGTAAGAAGGATTCGAATATCTTCCCACAATCATACTGAGGGGGGCACAGGAGTCGGACAGCAGTGTGGTCTATGTGGGACATGACGCTTGGGGTCGAGGACCTGAGGTCAAATTCGTGAAACGTGATTCGTTCACCAACCCCAAAGAGGAGATTTAAGGAAACTGGGTCTGCCCCAGCTTTTCTTGTTCAATCCGGCGCCACCCGCCGGCGCGATCCTCATCAACAAGGATGCTCCTTGGGGCTCCGCTCCGGCCCTCTTTCTTCTGGCGCCGCCGTATGTCTGCGCACTCGTGGCCGTGCCGATGTCTCCGATGGAACGTAACATTTGTTTGATCTCGAAGGTAAGCAAATGGCTCTGACGCATACCGGTCCGAGGCGGGATCTCGCGATGATCGGAGGTGACATTGCATCGTTTCAATGACTGATGAACAGACTGGACTGACGTTTGGTTGAAGTGCTGGTAAGTGAGAACTCTATCTTGCTTCGTAGTCGCTTCAATTCACACAGAATGATACTCTTGAATATGTATGTTAAAGCTCACACAAGTGTCTAAATCGAAGTACTGCTGCTTGGAACCACTGTTACCAATAACGATGCACTCTACGAACACGCCGCAGCAGAGGTTTACATTGACATGCGACTATATGGAGTACACAACTCACGTTCCATGAATGCTGGCGGGACGGGAAAAAACAACTTATACTATGAGGGCGAAAACCACAAAATCATGTCTCATCTCAAGATCCTAAATGTACTCAATAGATCGGACGATATTTGCTGGAAACGTTACTTTTAAAAGATCGAATAGACATCTCGGGCAGGCTCAGACACGATCTCCCTTCAAGAGGCAGAAAAAAAAAGAAGGGTACAAAGCAACACTAATGAGGTAGTGAACTAGGTTCATGACTCTTGTTTTTCCCCGTGGGGAACATCAACGTCAACCTCAACGTCGCATTTGGAAAGGTCCCCCCACATTTTCTTGGAGGTTGTCGTTCAGAGCCGAGCCGCAAGTCAATCGCGCAGATCTAGTTGTAACCTACCTAGCGTCCGTTGAGACTGAGGTGGAAAAGAGGTTGGTCTCACGCCGGGTCCGGAACCCTCGGGCCCGGGCACCCCCACCAAAAGATCAGAGTGCTAGCTCCGTGGGGGTGAGTCTTCATTTGACGTCAAGTCACGGCGCCCAAGGCACCCAAGGTAGCTGAATAAGCGGCCAGGTGAGACGTCGAGCAACGGCGAAGAATCTGGAGTTGTTCAGACCATATGCATTCTAGACCGGAATCGCGCTTTCTTTGTAGCATTTAGATAGTTCCCTACATTCGTCTTCGGGGTATCTCTCACTAAGACGATTCTTGCCGTTTCGCTTTTCCCTTCGCATGCTGCAGCAGAGAGAAATCGACGCCTACCTTGCGTGTCGCGACTTCGTCATGCCGCATACTTTTACGAATATTTACGCATACGCATCGTCAGAACAGTAACAAACCCACTTTCACTCCCCGCATACATTCGAATCTATCAAGCAAGACATGAAAGGCTAACTGACACATGAAAAAGCCTCGGCCATCGTTACACGGGGTATACCCTAAACGCACCGCTCCAGGAGAACGATTCGAGTAGACAGTGTAGTGTGAGCATAAGTCCATGTGCATGTTTACTGGAGAGAAGTGAGTGGAAAGTAAGACCCTAAGACTTGCAGACGGCGGATAAACCTCTCATCCCAGACACAGAAATCGACAGGCGGGCCGACGGCAATCTCCAGCCGGTCGGGATTGCGTCGCTTCTTCCGCGTCGCCGCTTATTGGTGGGCAATCTGTATCCTCCTGGGGTAGTTACGGCAAGCGACCCTATTCGCTGATAAGCAACACAATCTCGTCCATCTTGCCGTCGTTCGAGACATCCTGGAGCGGAGGAAATAAGTTGCGCTCTTGCAGAAGCGAAATGCTTTCCGGGTTATCAAGGGACGATATCTGTCGTCCAGTCTATATCCCCATGATGATGATTGAGATTTAGTTTCGGGCGACTAGAGAAGCCGATGCGCCAATGACCACATTACTGGTTCGGGCAATGGGACGTTGGATTCCATGGTCCGAAATGGGGGGTTCGAGGACCAGGGGGAGGGTTCCCCCTTGCGCCTATAAATGTGGGGAGATCGCAACGGGGTCCTTTGCCAACTGTGAGCCTCAGACTTCCGTCCCTAATCACACAAAGACGTGGAGGTTCCGTACAATGATTCTATTCAACATCCAAGTTCTCGAGCTGGAACAAAGAACATGCTTTGCGAATAGCTTCCAGAAACCGACTGAACAAAAACAATGAAGAACCTCCACAGCGTAGTAAATAAAACAACATCCTCCATATTAATACCAATAGTCCTTGATCCCAATTGACCAAGTATCTTAACCCGTAAAGAACAAGTGCCCCCCCAAAGAAAACCCTGTCATGTGTCAAGGCTCCCGAACACCAATGTCCTGCGGCCACACAATTGACTCTCCCCAAAAGACTGCGAAAAAGGCGCGCGCTGCCAGCAGCAGCAGCCCCAGTCCGCCTCCCTCGAAGACAGCTGCGCCGCTTGCCACCGCCCCGCTTGCTACGCTCAGAACCGCACGCGGTATGAGGCCGAGCACGCCGTGCTGATGGATGAGCACATGCGGGCCGACGCCGCGGGTAACGAGGACGGGATGCGGCGCCTCCGGCGCGCCATGCTGGATCACACGCGGCTGTTGCGCCAGCTTAATTTTGCGGTGAGTTTGGTGAGGGAGGAGCCGTCAGGTGGCCTGCTTGTGAATGATATGGTGAGAATTACTGGTGATGGTGGTGGATGAGATGATCTTGGAGGGGCCGCTCTGGGGCCAGGAATCATGGAAAGGTTGAATGCAATTGCAAATGGGGGGTATAGATACAAAACTTCAAGATGCCTCCTAAATGGCCCCTTTCTTAAGCCTCAGTGCGAGCTGAAAAACCAAGTATTGCCCTCCCATAAACGACACGACCTCTAAGCAAACATCCTTTTGATCACCAAGGTGGTGAATACTTTGGTAACGCCCCAAGCCGCACATCGCTCGGGCCCATGAATTGCGCAACATCCCATGCCGAAGGCATATACGGCATCTGATTCGGAGAATCTTGTCGCGTCTGCTGACTAGCGTTTCCCTTCTGCGCTTGCACTTCCTTCTTCGCCTGCGTAAATTCCTTGACCCTCGTCGTACCCAGCTTGCCGGCCCTTCTCTTGTCTGTGGGACAACGAAGCAGAGGAACCTGTATGACGGCGGAGAAAATGTCCCTGATTTTCTGTTCCGGTTGGTTGTGTCGCTTCGCCACCTCCTGGAATGGAAACATGTTTAGGCAGGTGTCTGCGATGTCGACAATGATGTGTTTGGTCGTCGGTTGCGTGTCGGGAACTCTATTTGCCTGAGGTTTCAAGGTAATAGCTACCGCTGGTTGGGCTGGTTGGGCGGGTGGCTGTTGCGTGACGTACGCCTGTGTTTGAGGGACCGGCGAAGTAGGTCCGAGATGGAACATGTGTCCCGTCGGTTGTGGGGCAGGAATTCCAGCACCGAGATGTGGTTGTTGCGGGTGGACGGCAAAGTGACCAGCTGGTCCGGCCATCAGAGATTGTTGTAGCAGCGGGTTGTACATGGCTCCAGCCATCGCGTTGTGGTACGGGTTGAGGCCCAGGAGGTTTGTCCAAGGCTGCTGCATAGACGACGGCGGAAGGGGAGTCTGACTCGTAGTAGCTGCATTTGTGCCGTTTGGCAAGCCTGAGTTGACCGCCATGCTGGCAGCCTGTTGCCTCAACCTCGCCTCCACACACTGACGGCAGGGCCCCTTTGCTCCAGACGTAGGGCGATCTGCACAGGCCCCGGCCTGGTTATCCGACGTACCATGCGTGGTGTTGTGAGTATCAGAAGTGAACGGGTTTGGTGTATCGGTGTTTTGGTGAGTATGGGTATGGAAGGAGAAGGGGAAGGGGGGTTCGTTAATCTTGGAACTATGAACGTCTACCTGCTGATCCAAGAGATCGCGAATAGCATTCTTCGATTCCGCTTCGGTACCAGGATGGTTCAGTGTTGGCACAGGTTCAGCTGCTTGACGAAGCATGGTTTTGCCATCTGCCCCTGATGCGGGCATAGAGTTGATCTTGCCCAGGTCAGTGATACCAGCTAGCGCGGGAGCTGCGGGAGCTGTGGGAGCCTTGGTTGTCTCCTTCGCAGTCTCAGCGTGGTTCTCGGTCTCTGGTTGAATCTGATTCGGCATACCTTGTTCTCCTGACACTTGCGCTTGATACACATGAGGCGAGGTCATGGTTGACGGCATGCTTGACGAGACCGGTGCGGGAATATCAGCCACGGCTTCGTTGGTTCCGCTCATACAACCAGGTGCAGACTCGTGACTCTTGTCAATTCCAAGCATTGAAGGCGAAACATGTTCTGGGAGTGATTTGGGTGACACTGGTGGCGAGCATTGCGGTCCAGTATACGGTGCAGTCCAGAATGACTCTGAATGGCAGGCCCTCTCCGGCGTCGGCATGGAGCATCCTCTCATCGGGTCCACGTCCGGCAAACGGGCCGTGGGTGAGTGATCGACCATGCCCGTGCTTCCCCGTCTCTCGGGCTGAGAAATGGGCTTGGCGGGCTCGGATGGCTGATGGTTGATGGGGGTGGGTCGCCCCGCCGGCGCCGGTGAGTCTGCGGTGGTATGTGGCATGACCGGCTGATAGCCATCGATTCTTCTCTTCTTGACGGGATTGGAAGATACGAATTGAACGTCGTCATCATCTCGTTTCGCTGGTATCACAGGTTGTGGGTATGGTGCAAGGGCTGTGGAATAGACTGGGGGAAACATGCCAAGATAGTGGTGGGAGCTTTCCATATCGATGAGGAGAGACAGTGACGGAGAGGAAAAGAGGGAGAGACGGGTGTCTTGCTGATGCGGGAGCGGGAGCGGATGCAACATCGATGAGATGGAGGAACGCCGCTAACTGATAAGAAACGGCCAAGCATCCATATTTGAACCCTGTGCCAACCAACAACAGCTATGCTGGGTACCGTACATATTGGAATGACGGGGAAAGCTGAGCACACCCAGTAACAGTGAGCCATGAACAGCAAAGAGGGAAGCCAAGAGAAGAGCGTTGGCATGTTGCACTGTTTGCCTTTGAGCCGTTCCCTTTGGTACGGTGGGATTCCAGCCTGGTGTACCTGGCAGAAAGAAGAGGAAAATCACAAAGTTTTGCAAACTGTGACAAGCACCTTGATGCTACTTTTCTCGGGTCCAGGATGCAGATTGCCACTTGGCAGGGAAGGCGGCATGAGGTGCCCAAGTGAATACCTTGCCTTCAAGGAGGTGTGCAGAGTTGCCAGTGTTCCTATCAATGCCGCCCATCACTGCTGAAAGAGACGATAGGTCCTTTTGGTTTCCTGTAGAGTTGCAAGCTCAGACAATGAAAGTAACCGAAAGGGCTCTGATCTGAGGCACTTGCTCCCTTGTGCAGCGATGGACTCATCTAGTGTCTTCATGGCCTTATCAGCGCAGGGATCAGTGGCGCTGACTGTGGTGCTCTGCACATGACGCAGCACCATTGGGCGAGGCCTACCAGTTGCTGGAAATTGCTTCATTGCAGATTCAATCTAAACAGAGTATTTTATCGCTATGAGAAGTGCTCATTCAGTTCAAGAAATGGTGTTGATGGAGGAGAGTAGCACACAGAGGTACCCAGCAATTCATGAGACTGAGCACCATAGCTTCGAGCTGCCCTGTTATGATTGGTCCTAGATGGGAACAGTCAGCATGTGGCTTGACTGCCGCCTCAGCCTCTTATCGTGCTAAGCTCCTGCCCATCTGTGAACCACGCCTTCCCCACATCGCGGGGCAGCCTCAAGGCAGCTTCACCACTACAGATACCTTACCTTCCATACCTGAGCAACGCACTACCCATCTCCAACTGTACCTGCAGCTGCAACAGCAAACACCACCGACGTCAACCCAAACACTAGTCGACAGCTCCCTGCTCCAGATCTTTGTCCCTTCACTTTTTCACATGGTCTCAACAGTCGAATAATAATTCCCAAATTCTGTGGCGACGGCCAGAGAATCGTCAGCCATGGCCTCTTCCGACGTGAACCCGCTCATTTCGAACCAGAAGTCCTCGGAGCTTCAGGCAATCCTTCATCCTTTGGTACTCCTCACCATATCCGACTACATCACCCGTCATACGCTGCGGTCGCAGCAAGGTCCCATTGTTGGCGCTCTTCTGGGCCAGCAGAATGGTCGCGAGATCACCGTCGAACATGCGTTTGATTGTCACACGATACCGGCACCAGAGGTAGAAGGAGGCTACCTCCTGGACTCGGGGCGCTTCGGTGCGAGATTGGAGCAGAGTAAGCTCAGCATGTTTCCCGTTCATTGCACCCTCAGCGGACTAATTCCCCCCAAGTGAAGACAGTTCACAAGGACCGAAGCCTGGACTTGGTTGGCTGGTACACTCTCCTGGCAGTCACCGGCCCGACACCCACCATCCTCCCGATCCACAACCAGCTTCTCTCCGAATTCAACGAGTCGGCCCTCCTCCTAGGCTTCCATCCTGAGGAAGTCTTTACTCATTCCGTGGGCGGCAAGCTGCCCATGACCATATACGAATCCAACTATGAGGTCGACGATCCGAGAGCTGCCGAGGCAGAGGGCGAGGACAAGAAGATGGACGACGGGGAATCAAAGCTCAAGCTACGCTTCCGCGAGCTGCCCTATACGGTCGAGACGGGCGAGGCTGAGATGATCAGCATGGACCATGTTGCGCGCGGTGCCGGCAACGCGACCGCCGTCGAGGCCCCCAAGGAGGCTGTCAAGCCCAAGGTCCAGCGCGTTGACCTCGGTACTAAGCGCCGCGTCGTTGTTACTGATAGCTCAGATGGTGATAACGCAGAGGCTCAGCTGTCCCCAGAAGAGGAAGAGATGGTCGCCGCTCTGACGGCCAAGGCGAACGCCGTCAAGATGCTTCAGGGCCGCATCCGCCTCATCACAACTTACCTCGAACGCTTGCCGGCCGAACCCCTTACTGGGGCTGAACAGCCCGATGCCGTATCTGCCACCACAGATGCGCAAACGACACCATCTCACACTATCCTCCGCCAAATCCAGGCCCTCGTGAACCGGCTAGACCTCCTCGTTCCCTCTGATGCGGAGGGCTTCGAGAAGGAGGTGCTCTGTGAGGAGAACGAGGTCGCCATTACGTCACGTCTCAACGAACTCATGCAGAGTATCAGTGGCATGCGCGACTTGGGCAAGAAGTTTAGCATCGCCGAGTCTGCACGTAGCAGGAATCGCGGTAATCCGACGGCGTCTGACTTCCCCAACTACGGTCCTTCTGGCTTCAATCTTCCCGGCGCGGGAGACATTATGATGTAGAGGGCATCTTACTTTATGGTGCCTGGGCAGCGAAGCAAAGAGTCTTTTTTTTGGCGACGGTTGCGCGCATCATCAGCCTATCTGGGATTCATGGGGAGGCGTTTCAGGGGATAATGTAGACATGACCACACGTGCGAGGGGCACAAATAACCCCGAAAAATACAAACACCTTAAGTCCAGATACACCGTTGCCACCGAGCTATAGCTCCATGGATGATTTCTCATGAGGTTCTTCTTGTGATCGAGTTACCACCAGCTGTTTCTCAGATTATGGTGGATACCTTGAGGTACGTTCAACCACAGCCCCCGCATCGGCACCTGCCTCGCTCCCTCCCAACTTCACGTCCCTCAGGTCTTTCCGCGCGTCTATGTCGGCGGGTTCAGGTCAAGCTATATGCGAGGTGGTCAATTTAAGTCATGAATAAAAAAGCAAACCTGGAATATTCTTATGAAGTCAGAGTCTTGGTCCGGGTTGACTGATCATTTGTCCCCCCCCTTTTCCCCCTTTCCTCCTTTGTTTTTCATAGTTTCAACGACATCCATTTCAAAAAAGGGGTTAGGTTGAGTGAGGTTCAAGAACTTTCAACTTGGTCACATCGACTCCCCTCCTACTGCCTCCCCGGCCACGTTCCTCTTGTTCCTAGGAGAAAGAACAGAATTGGCACAAATACCGTACATACTTCAAATTATTTCTTTCCAGGAAGAAGAAAATCATAGTCTTGCGGGATTTAGGGGATGACGAATGTGACAGACGTGATCTTGGGCACTAGTCATATGATTCATCTTCTTTTTAAATCAACCTGCAGACTACCTATGCTCTCTTTTCTCTTTTGTTTTTGTGTCCTGAGAAACCCTGGGAAAGGAAATGTATCCAGCGACCCTCACTCTCATCTCGCCCCCTAGCCTCCGTCGCCAGCCCAATCAACCTTGTCGATTTCTTCTCACTCTCTAAGTAGGTATCAACTTCGTCATCATAGCCACTTTGCCAAACTTTCCAACGCTTGCTTTCCAAACCAAAAGAAGAGAAAAAGAAAGAGAATCTAAGGTAGTGTCTATAGTCAAAAACCGCACACTTGTAAAAATTAGGAAACCCGCACCCCCGAAAGAGAACCGCAAATCCTAGCTATCTAATGCATGAAGGGGTCAACTCAAGCCTCAATAACAACCTTGAGCACAAGCTTCCCCTCATCGTCAAACGTTCGACTCGCGAGCTCAAACGCCTTTGACGCGTTCTGCAGCCCCTTGAACCGGTGCGTAACCATATCGTCCAGAGGCGGGAGCCCGCCGTTGCCCTTGGCGCAAAGCAACCGGACGCCCGTCGGGTAGGTGTTTGCGTACCGGAAGATGCCCAGGATATCAATCTCCCGGAGGTGCGCGACGGACAGAGGTAGAGTCTGCACGGGCGTGCCCATGCCGACCATGATCACCTTACCGCCGGGCCGCGTCGCATATAGGCTGGTGTGCATGCAGACTTCTTTGCCGGTGCACTCAAAGGTGACGTCGACGCCGTCATCTTCGGCGTCGGAGTCGAGTTCGTCGGGGACCTTTGTCAGGGCCAGGATCTCTGCGGCGAGGGATTTGGCGCCGTCGAATTTGCTCTGTACGCTTTGGACGGAGAATATGCTTGCGGGGGTCATGACGCCCGGGTCCGCTGGCGTCGAGGTGCCCGAGTTGGTGTTGACGACGTGGCCGTGGGTAGCGAAGCCCTTTTCGACGGCGTAGTTTACGCGGCCGGCGTCAACGTCGGTGATTGTGACCTCAGAACACCCAGCTTGCCGCGCCATAGCGGCCGTCAGGAGCCCGACGGTGCCTGCGCCGATAACCAAGGCCGTCGAGCCTGGCTCCGGCGCGGCCCTGTTGACGGCGTGGATGGCGACGGAGAGGGGCTCGAGGAGGGCGGCGGCCTCGTAGGAGACGTGGTCGGGGATCTTGTGGCACCACGCCGCCGGGTGGTTGATTCGTTCTTGGAGGGTTCCCTGATAATGGGGCACGCTCTTGGCGCTGGACCGGAACTTCATCTTCTTGCAGAGGTTGTATCTGCCTTTGCGGCAGATGGTGCACTGTCCGCAGGGAACGCCGACCTCGAGAGCGACGCGGTCACCTAGTTTGAAGCCCGTGACCTGGGGTCCAATGGAGACGACCTCTCCCGAGGACTCGTGGCCCAAGGAGAGGGGGTGACATGCGCAGAGGTCGCCGTTGGCGAACTTCTTGTAGTAGCTGACATCAGACCCGCAGATGCCGGTCCGCTTGATGGCAATCTGCAGCTCCCCCGCGCCCGGCTCTTCAATGCTTCTCGTTTCCTAAGAGTACGAGTGTCGTTAGAATTAACATCGACAAGGCGGGGCGGCTTTGACACATCCAAGTGTAGGGACTCAAGGATGCAACACGATCAACGTGGGGGAGCTTGTGTGACGAGCCCACATTCTCCACGCACAATCCATGACCATGAACCCAAGAAAGTTGTACTTACCAATCGCAAGTCCCGAGGACCATACAAGACTGACGCAGTGACCGAACAAGACTTTGACTTGTAGACGGGTAGGTGCATTGGTGCCATCTCACCCGTTGCAACTGGGGCCATGATGAAAGCTGGATGACGCCGGCGGCGTGGGGTGAAGCGTGGGATGATGGGTTAGGGTGTCAAAGGGGGCTTGGCCTAACTTCCTAATAGGGAGGACTCGACGAGTGGGATTGGCCCAAGTGCCGGATGAGGGGTGCCGACAACACAAACGATGCTGAAAACACGAGGGCGAGGGTCTTGGGAATGAGGGACGGGAGGGGACCGGCGCGGGGTGTCTCGAGGAATGATAGGTTCGCTTTGGTATTTGGAGTTTGGGGGTTAACGGGGGCCACGAGAGGATAGACAGGGTTATCTCGTGGGATGAAGATGTACGAAATCCAGGCTAACACGATTCCTTGTGCGAAGATGGAGGTGAGGTGGGCAAGTATATTATCACTTGACAGAACAAAATGATAACCGGAAGAGCAGGAGACTTGAGATAAAGGGAATTTTAAGGAAACTTTGGCGCGAGGGGCCGTTGCTCCCCCCACCCCTTAAATAGGCTTGCGTGCTTGCCCGGCCCCGGACACTCTCAACGTCCTGATGAATGATGCTCATGGTGGTGTCAATCGGTGATAAACCAAAGTTGCAAGGGGCTATCTTGGGTGAATGGGGAGACGGATGGACAACGGGCCATGAGTATACCTATCGATGGCGACCATGATGGGGAGAGTTGGCCAAGTTCGCCCAACCAAACATCGACCAGTTATCGGAGCCAAGCTAAGAGCTTCGTACATGTAATCTCGGGAAATCGTATGCAAGAGACATCTAGCGACGGAACCACCTCAGCGTTCGGCAGCAGCACAAACCTTGGCCGGTATCGTACTGGCTTGCGAGGCGAAGAGATGAAAGGGATGCGGATAGGGATAGGGGATACCGGGCGGTAGTGGACATGGTTTGGCAAGGAACGAGGCACGTCGGGCCAGGAGGTGTCCGCATTTGGGCAGCAGCTGTACGCACTGGGCGTGAAATCGTCGTGGCATTGGTTGACGATGCTGGACTGATGGAAAGCGGGAGGGCGGATGGAAGTAACTTTTCGCCTTTTACGGTGACTAGGCAGGGCCCTGTTGAGCCACTTCCGAAACTTTCCAAGCATGGCACAGATGGGGGGGGCCCAGCGAGCAAATGGGGAAGTAGCGGCTGGTGATGGGATGGCCTGGATGGCATCAGTGCGGTGACAGATATCGGCATGCATGGGGCTCCAACATGATAGCCATGGACGCAGTGTCTTGCCTGCATGTGTTGCAGGTTGCGGTGACGGATAGAACTGTCTCGGGTCGCGATGCTATGCTAGTCAGTAGGTATGAGTAGGTAGGTAGAAGGGAGCGAGTACGAAGATATGACGATGGCGAATCGCGGGAGTCAAAATTGTTAGGTATTGCCTCTCGCGCGCTCAGTGGAACGGCCGCATGCGAGGACTGGGATATTGAGCCAAGTGGACAGTTAAGGTATGGTCGGTGAGGTACCCGGGAGTGAGGGCCCGGAACAGAATGGACCATGACAGGGATCAATGAGAGGGGTCGAGAGGGGACAGCTGGGAGGGGGGGGCAGACATTGCAACGGGGATGCATGGCTCTTGATGGAGGGTAGGAAATGAGGAGGTGTGGTGAACAAGGTAGATGCCGTGGGCAAAATTGCTCTTTCTGCGCCTGTAGGTATCCGTACCATGATCTTGTTTGCAAGGGTTCCGAGGAAGAGATGGGACGGGACAATCGCGGATGAATTGCGACAGATGATGGACAATGAACCCAAGATGAGGCGATGAATGAGGCCCCTGGTGAATGTGCCAGAGTTGCAGGAAGAATGGATATGGAGATAGACGGTGAGAGAGAGAGAAGACCAGGGCAGGCCTCTGACGGAGAAACGACGTAGTTGGCTAGTCGAGGTTCGAATTCCGCACGAGATTCGCAACGAAGCAACGATTCGTGGCCCTCGTTGAATGCGTAGAATCCTCCCAGGGGGTCCAGTCGGATGCTCGGCGGTCGAAGGGTTGAGCACAACCTTCTGGCCATTGGTGCGAGCTATGTATGCCATGGACATGGGCCCTGTGCAGTATGACCGAGTAAAGAGCTGCAGCTAAGAACTGAGTAATTGACATGACGGTTTGAATGAAAGTCCTAGAGCAATGCCGCTGATGCGAGAATGGATCTTTGCCTGATGTGTCGTCCAGTGTCTGAAATGTTGGGAGGCGAAATGCTGTATCCGTATAAGGTACCTTACTTCAATTTCCCGCGCATCGATAGAGGCAAAACAAAGTGTGCGAAGAAAGTTTCCTGCCTGCCCTAGATAGACCCCATTGGAGAAACCAAGGGCTTGACTTTTGTAGATTCTCTCTTGCCTTTCACGTTCCCTGGTTGTCTGCCTTTGCACATACCGTTTTCTGTGTAAAATATCGTCGAAGGAAGAGAAGGTTCGGATAAGGCACCTTCTTTGGTTCTTCACAACATTACATAATCAGACAACACTTCGGATGGCAGGGTGCCAAGGTAGGGACTTTCCCTGTCTTCGTTATTTTAGGTATGTAACTCCTCTGATGCACGGAAACCGTGCCGCTCGACTTCTTCCGTCCAACACCTTCGCTTCTCCTTGACGACGCGATACCTTCCTCCGTACGTTCTTGTCATCTCGCCAAACCTCTCGTTCTGAAATGGAGCGAATCGGCAGCTTTGGGATGTTGAGCTACTTTGACTCCGCGGCCACGCGCGCACGGCGCTGCATGGATGTTGCCGCCTGCATCGCATCGTCTTGGCTGAACCATCCTATCAACCAGCAGCCGTCGGATACGTTCTAGAATTGGAGCCAAAGCCTTTACACCAGCTTTGGTGCCCTCGAAACGCCCATCCGTCGTCACTCCCTCCTCTGGAGATCCTCTTCTGGAGGTTGTGCGGTACGGCACGGCTGAACACCATCTACCTTACCCTGTCCTGGCCAACGGTGGCGCACATCCCGTTCGTTCCGCGGAATGAGGATGTTGCCGGCCACTGACAGCCTTCATCCGTCCCAGCTAACGAAGCGTCATGCCTCGCCACATCGAACCATTCATTACGTCGATCGCTTGAGACAAACAGCAAGTGTTCAACCAGAGAGACATTGCCAAGCGTATTCTACTAAGCAGCAGCTCTCTTCCGCCATGGAAATGAGAACTTCGCCCTCGCGCCTCGGTTGCGGTTTAAGAAACCCACTGAACGCCAAGTCTCTTCGCAGGGCTCATATCCTCAACTCGAGATGCGTGCTCAATCCTGCACGTCAGGGCCCGCTGTGATGGCATGCCCTCAAGGTCCCTGGCCGAGGCGGCAAAGAACCCAGTGGTTCCTTCTGAGGGGGTTCGACGCCCCATCTGTTGACCCCGGCTCCGTTGATGGGGCCTTACCTTACCAACACCTATCCTTGCAAGAATGGCTCTTAGCAATAAACGATGGCACAAGATGAAAGAACACGATGCCGAGGTTATAACCGGCCGAACCAGATCGTGTCGGAAGCAATGCGTCCTCCAATAATTTAACCCATCGTTGAACCGGCCCGAACAGGGCATCCTCATCGTGACGTTTTCGGTGCCAGGAATCCTCAGTCTGGTTCCAGTCTATCGAAGAAAGCATATACAACAGCGTATGTTGAGGGCACTGCAACTGCTCCTCTATCTGCTTTCTGTCAGCACTCCGGTCTGCGCCAACCTGGTCGAGTGATTGGGTTCAAATTCTCGAGAGAGCAACCGACAGATGGTACGCGGATACACTAATTATTCCACTGCATGTGCACCTCCATTTTACCGGTCCTATAGCAAGGCGCATTGCATGGCTGGTCCTGGACCCAGCCCTTGTAAGTCCTTCAAAGCCCACAGCTCCAACTCTTGGGTGGCCGTACCTTATCCTGATCCGCAACCTCTGACGCATCCGCAGTCGGCACGCAAACCCCTGCCCGGCTTTCTGCCGCTACATTTCTTTGCCGAGTCAGAGCAAGGATGTGGACTGCGGCCTTCTACAGAGTAGCAGTGCTGGTCTTTGTGCCTTGCCCGCATTGCCTCAACATCTAACAGGGGCACAGCGAAGCATCTACAAAACGAGGGCTGATAGTTTTCCGACGATGCAAGCGGCAATGCTGCCCGTTTCGACATGGCACAATGGGCGAAATATAGACCCTGTCCACAAGTTGTGGGCGTTGGATTAAATCGTTTGAAGTCGCTCAATTCGAAATCGATGCCGCTCCGCAAACGTTTTTGTAGGCGGACGCATAAACTACATTTCTTGTTAGCAAGGACCAGATACATCAATGTCATTCTCTGTGCTCTGCGAACTTCACAAGCTCACAGTTATCCACAACCTTGGAGACACAATCAACAGCTATCTGGCGTTCTCAATACTATTTCTGTCGACAGTATCAACATGGACGGCGCCCGCGCTGATCTCTGAGGCGGGCGAGATACTTAAAGAGACACTCACAACTCTACTCAACTCTAAACGAGTGATCTCCAAGTGCACTATCACACGGAGAGCCTGAACCGACAACGCAACCCTCGACTCGGCAAGATCTACTCCTCCGCCGTTAGAAGGAGGCGGGATGAATCAGGAGCTGGTTTGTCTAGCGACTCAGTCAGTGCTTGACAGTGACGGAAACAAGTATCTCGCATATCCGCATCCGCAAGCTGCGTGGACATCACATTTAACGGCCGCCAGCAGATGCCCACTTCCGAACAAAAATTGGAGACGATCATCCAATTCGGAGAAACCCTGCATACTCACGCAATCGGAACGCATGGCATCACCCAGGGCCCATGCAAAGGACAGTTGAGTGGAGCTCCATGTCTACCTGAAGAGAAGCCATGCATGAAGTCTTGCCCGGCACGCTGGGTCTCTGTGATACTGATGGCCCATGGACACAGTACCGTCTCCTTCATAATATGTGAGAGGTGAGAACCGCCCGTCACGTCATCTCTTGGGGGAGTGTTCGCACACTGGTGTATCCGAAGACGAACGTGGGCAGCTCTTCAGACGACACTCTCGTCAGGTCTCTGATATCAGAAATGACAGCAGCGACAATTAGCAGTACGGCTGACGGAATTACTGGCTGGTCTACCAATGAATGGCGTTGATACCACTAGAGCTAGCAGATTTTCTCCTGAGCCGCATGGAGATAAGTCATTGTAGTACCAACGACGAGTGCCGCTTGCTAGCGGTGTATAAAACTGATTCCATTACCGGCGATTTTCTCCTTGCTTCAGACTCCAGCTCCAAGGCAGGCGTTTAGCTATTACACCTGCCGACGTAGTTGCCGAGTAATGACTTTGCGTCCTGACGGCTATTGACTTTGAAGGAAAATTTCCATCACAAAAGCCGGATGGGACGACTAGGGAAGCATAGCACAATGCGACCTCACTAGGCCACGGCCTCTCCTTGGGTACATCGTCTGCCTAGGCGCGTCAGCGAGGGTATCTACCGGATCTCTGGAATCGAGTGAAACACTGCTCGCATCGCTGAGATGAATGCCAGATAGATTGGAAAGAGAAAACTGGCTGACGCCTCCGTTCCAGAACCCGACGCTGACGGCGTCTGGTTAGCCACCTAGGTGTTCCAAAGAAATTAAGCGGAGAGAAGAGTCCAGGCAGGCTGACAATGCGAAAACACCGCGTCTCTCTGGGGAGGAAAAAGAAGTACTGGCGCCAGCATGAGCAGAAAAAGCAATGTGAGACCCGATCATCTGCATCGTACATCCTCGGCATGCTTTTTAGAGTTCCAACGATGAACTACATTGCATGGGATAGAAATCCGGCCGAGACGCTGATGGCACGACACATCCAAGACATTTCTCAGACCGCTCGAAAAGCCTCCATCTATGGTTACTGATGCCAGACGATGACTGTTTTGCTGACAATCAATTGTAAGAAGAAAGAAACAATAGTATTAAGCGTATGAGGTTGTAATCGTATTGGGGAAGCTAAGAAGAAGAAGGAGACTGAAGCATAGGAAAATAAAAGTCGTCCGGAAGCCGACAGAAGCACACCAACCAATCGACATACAAACATCAACTCCCAATGAAATCATCTTGCCTGCAGCCACCGCCTCAATCATCGCTCAATTACCTTATATCAACGAAGAACATGTGAATATTGCCCCTGTATCCAGTGCTGAGCTAGCATCCATGGATGTGCATTTCAGCCAACACAGCACTCACCAAATCTGCCTGCACCTTTGCTCTACACCCACAGCCCGCATCCGCGTCACTCCCCGGTCGTATTATCCAGCCACTTTGAACTTGACTCACACACCTCAACCTCACCGCTAATCGATCAAACCACAAGCCCGAGCCAACAGGCATACAGACGGCGACGTCCACCCTTTGGACAATGGCAGGTAAAACATCAAGACCCCGAAGCCGAAACCGGGGTGAGTTGAACAGAGTCGAGTAAGTGAGGGGGGAGACGAGAAGAGGGCGGGAACACGGCATCTGCCACACATGTTTGCATTTCTATATACCTTTTTTTCTTACTAGATGGGATGTCCGACGATGCAGTACCTAGGTAGAGACACCGTCAGAAGATGGCACGCAAAATACAAAACATAATCTGGCGCATTCATTGCATCGTGGACGTTATTACTTGCGTCACCACCGAGGGCCCTTTTTCTTTTTTCTCTTTCCCCCAGCCTACCTCGAGCTTGAGGTTGAGTCACGTTTCACCGCCTACCGCCTATCGCCAACGAGGCACACGCAGGCCGAGTCATCCATTAAGAATCTCATCGTGACACTACATCGGTGCATCCTGTCATCGCCATTGCCCCCCCCCCCCCAACGAGGACCTCCCTCTTTTGTATGTTCTCTCTCTCTCTCTCCCAGACCGCAGGCGTGTCAAGTTCACCGTCCACACCGGCTGCAATCACAGTTAACCGCAGGAGACAAACCCAGATTAAGAACCAGAAAAAAAGAAGCAAGGCTCATACTTTGGGAATCTATGTGTATGGGAACACAAACAGGACGGATACAACATTACACATCATACGAGCATTTTTTTTTTGGAAAAAAGTGCCTGCCCCGAAGCCCTTTCCATACAAAAAAGGCCTCGGTCCAAGGTTTCTCCCCCCCCTCCTTCCTTGCCCTCCCCTCCAAGGAGCGGCTTCGCCCGTTCACCCGCGCCTCGTAAACAACAAGGTCGACTCGATCAGAAAGTGCTGGTCGCCAATCGGCTCGCTGCGTTTCTCGCATCCACTCGGTCCTCGTCGTCCTCCTCTGTCACACCGGACAAGCTCGCCCGGCCGCCCGCTGCACCGCCCTTGTTCTGCCCCGCACCCTGGCTGTCGTCGCCCTCACCGTCCTCAGGGACGCCCATAAGACTGCCAGAGACGCTGCGGTTGAGCGTGTCGGTGCGTCGTGGAACACCGCTCCATGCATCACCCTTGGGACCTTGGCTGGCTGCCACGCTGGCCCTTCTGACGGGAGGGTGAGCCTCGCGTCCGAGTCGACTCAGACCGCCAGATGCGTCAATGGCGCGGATGTCTGGTCTCACGCTTTCGAGGACGGCAAGAGCACGTCGCTCCGCCTCAATCTCGCGAATGACATATTCTCTGATGCTGAGCCGAAGATCTGCTGCCGTTCTTGAGAACCACTTTCGACGCTCCTGAACGAGATTTTGTGTGACACGAGTCGTCTTTTGATAAAGGTAGGTCTCGTTTTGACGGGCGTCATCAAGAGCCGTAATGGCCTCGTCGACCTTCTCGCGTCTTACGTTGGAGCTCGCCTTCAGACGATCGGCGGCATTGAGCTTGCTACGTGTATTCTCTTGTGCCTGGAGGAACTCGCGGATGAGGATTTGGCGGTTTGTGAGCGACTCCTTGACAACAAATGAGTCCTGGGAGTGGTACTGGAACGGATCACCAATGGTGGTGGCTTCCGCAGTAGCTTGCGCAGCGTGATAGTCACCGACGGTTTGTACGATCTTGCCCAGCTTACGATAGGCATTGGCAAGACCCTGATGGGGCTCTTGGATATGCATGGAGCCGAGCTTTACGCCAAAGTCGGATTCAGCCAATCCCAGACCTAGATGATATCAGACCTGCAAATACCAGCGCGTTATTAAGGAGGGGTTGGCATGGACGTACCTCGACGAGACTTGACGAGCTTATCGACCTTATGGCCGGCATCCATGGTACCAAGGTAGAAGAGCTTGACGATCGGACGAGCCTCCTGGAGCTCCGGAGTGTCGTCCGGCGGGGGAGCAAACTGCTTCAGAATCTTTCTGCGCACGCCCGTCGCCGGCTGCTTCATCTTGACCATAGGGCTGTATCCGAAATCGCTCTCTACGAAGAGGACCATCTCGTCGTCCCTCATAAGAACTTCGTTGCTGCACACGTAGTTGAACCACCGTTGTAATAAGGCCTTGACGCGGGCTTCGTCCTCGTCCGTGCCAGCACCGGCCGACGTCACGGCAGACGGTACGGTAGGTACCAGGCATTCGGGGTTTGCAGAAATCAGGTGCTCCGCAAGCTTGACGAATTCCGAGTGGAAGCGGCGCACGTCGCGGTACTGAGTGGTACGGAACCTCGGGAGGTTGGTCTACGACGTGTTAGGCATTCATCTTCTACCGCATAGCAGCAGCAAAATGGGGATGTTGCTCCTTACATGAACATCGAACCGCAAGATGGGGTCCTTCTTCCCGGTGCGCTCGAGACCGGTGATCTTGGCCTGTAGCCTGAACTGAGGCTGCTGAGGCTTGCGCGGCTGTTCTTGACGAGCCTGTCCGCCCGCGACCGCGGGTCCGCCTTGTTCTTGCGACTTTTGGGGCAGCTCAGGTCCCGGACCATCACCGCTGGAGCGGGCTTCTGAGCCTATTTCGGTTCTCGACTCCTGTGTTTCCACCTCGGTCGTCGACTGGGTGCTGCTCGCGGTGTCTGGTCGCCTGTACTGCTGCTCGCCGCCAAAGCCCTCCTGGTGGTCCTGCGGGGTGGCGTTGCCGGGGCTCGGTGAGTAGTTGAATGGGGATCCGGCCGGGTCGCCGCCGAGGTCAGCACCGAGAGATGAGAAGTTGGTCTGGTTAGGCCGGGGCGAGGAGCCTGGGGAGTTTCCCCAGGGCGATGCGCCGCTCTCTTCGTGGATAGAGGCGCTGTAGTCCATGGCCACGGCGGTTTCCTTGTCGTCGTTGTTCGTCGTCTGCCAAGGGGTGCAATCGATGATGTCGTCGGGTTGCGTGGACGGATCACGACTGGCCGACAAAGCCGATGCGGGGAAGAGGGAGCGGGTGCAGATGGTTATTTGGGGATTCGGCACATGAGCTCATCCATTGACCAGTGTCGAAAGGCAATAGTAGTCGTCGTGGGCCGAAGGATAGAAGCCCGGGTGGATTGATGATGGTCCGTATAATCGCTCTCGTGTCGTTCGCGAGCTGATGCGGGATGCGAGCGTGATGTCCAGAAGGCCGGGGCACCTTTTCTCCACGCAGCTGCCTTGAATTGGTTCGTAACCACCTCAGTTCAAAGCCTCAGGTACGCCGAAGAGCCAACCCAAAAGCCCGCGAAGCAGAAGGACGTGGGGACGCTAAGCCGAAGCGGAGGGTGAGTGGGGTACCTAGGTACCTTACCACAGTACTCCGTACGCAGCATCTACAGGCTACACTACTCCATACGGAGCACCTACCTATTAGTTGTTTCCGGGTTCTGTCTCGCCTTTCGAGGAGTGACGACACACGCGCGGCAGACATCGCGCCTAAGCTACTATCCTGACAGCTCTCAGCTTTGACCAATAGGGACGCGGGAATCGCAGCTACCTCGAAACTTCAACACTCTTTTCAGCCTTGCGACGACGATTATCTGGTGCTAGCTTGATCTTTTTGCCTTGAAAAGATCGCCCAGACGACGACATAACGAGGGCGCAGACCATGGCGCATATGATCAACACTCTGGCCACGGCCGAGCAGCTCTACAAGCGCAATTCCTTCAGCTCGCTCCCGGCCGACCTCCAGGATGTCATTTTCTATGCGACGCAGTGCCTAACACAGGCTGCCGGTGTCCTACTCGACTTGCCGCAATCGACAACGGCACAGGCAAATGTCCTGCTGGCGCGATACTGGCTCGTCGAGTCGCCAATGGCGGGAGAATTCAGCGTGAGTCGCAAGCAACAATTCCATACAAAAAGAAATCCTCAAATTCCACTAACATGAAGTCGCCCAGGACATCTCCGCCGCAGCCCTCTACCTAGCCGCCAAATTGGGACCCTTCCCACGCTCAACCCGAGACGTCTCAAACGTATACGCCTACCTCCTCTCCCCAGCCTCCTCCCTCTTCCGCGGCGAGCCACCAGACGACTTGGAGAAGCAGCGGCCTCGCCCGGACCCGACGACGTACTACCAGACAGAAGGCGAGTACGCCGCCTTCCAGACGCGGATGCTGGCAGCCGAGGCGCGGATCCTCTGGGCCCTTGGTTTTGACACGGCCGTGGCGCTACCGCACGCGCTGGCCGTGACGTACCTCCAGGCGCTCGACTTTCTCGGGAAACCCAGGGCGCAGGTGGCGGGTCGGGTGGTCGCGCATCTCAATACGGCGCTGCTGAGCCCGCAGATGCTGTACCTGACGCATCAGCCCAACGCGCTCGCGACGGCGGCGGTGTATATTGCCGCTCGAGAGGCCGGGGCCAAGATGCCTGAGGTTGCGTGGTGGGAGGTCTTTGATGTTGAGAGGGAGGAGTTGGGTTTCCTGGTTGTGGGGATGAGGAGTCTTGAGGGGTGGGTGAGGGGGGTGAAAGAGACCGGGATGCTTGCTGGTGGTATGATTACGAGGGTTGGGATTGAGAGGGAGGCGAGGCGGAGGGCTGGCGAGGGAGACGAGGAGGATGAGATTATGGCACTGATGGATCAAAAGGCCACATAGAACGGCGATGTATTGCCGGTGGCTTTGAGAAGAGAAGATTGATACCCAAACGAGAACCTAACTTACCATGTCTTCCCCTGATCACAATTGCATCTGACCCCGTCCTCGGGGTGATTTTGCGGTTCTTGAGTGAGCAAAACAACGCAATACGGTAGTACTAGCTTTGTTCCTCCACACGGTGAGTTTTGTAGAAGTTGGAAATGCCAGTTGATGCCATACTTGTTTTGAGTGCCTAAAAATGAGCAACCAAAAGGGGCAACTCCACGCAACGACTGTAATTCCCATCTTGTCTTCAAAACTGCAGTGATCTGTACATTGCTGTCACACATTACAAATACATACTCCTCAAATGGTAGCACACTGGGGCGAGAAACACGGTCCCGTGTACATACGTATATTCATCCTAATGTATACGACTAGCGAGACAGTGCTTGAGTCTCTTTTCGCTCCTGCCTACCACCAAAAGATGTGATTTGGGAAACTTGGCCGAGGGGTCTAGGGGGCGCCAGTGGAACCCGTTCTTCCAGAGCCAAGCCGATCAATCGCGTACTCTTTTGTTCGATTCCCTATGATAAAGTCTCTTTTTTTTTTTCCCTTCTCTCATTCAGCAATAGCAGATGTATTATCTAGGTCGGTTGCTTAGAGGAGACTGGCTGCGTGCTGGTATAGTCTACGGTCAACGATAATTAACCTCCTATACGGTAGCCTACATCAATCCTAGCATGAGTACCATAACAACTGCCAAGAAATGCCGCCACACCGGCGGTGAACCATTCATTTTCTCTTTTCCTTTGTGTGTTGTTTCTATGATTCTAATTCTCCCCTCATGTTTCAACTACCCATCTTACTCAGACCCATCTCGATAGTACTTCCAAAGTCTCCAAACATCCGAGACTACCGCGAGGGCCAAACGACACCCTCTTCGAAGCTTCTATAGAGAGGGGTGGGAGAGATGTTTAAATCGAAGGCATCCAAAGTACACGGTGTCACGCCTTCCTAAGGAGTATTATCGATTTGTACCAGGGCTGTCATATTGACACTACTTTACCCAGGGCGGTGCGAGCGGTTGACTCTCGACGCTGGGGTGAGGAAGGCTGGCTTCCCTCGAGAGATGTCCTGGCTAGGAAGGAATGCCTGGTTAGTTAGATGGATGAATGGCTTGGGGTTGCCTTTGGGGGGGTCTACATGTCACAATAGCAAACTATACACTCGTTTCACAATGACTGGTCTATGGTATGATCACGAAAAGGGGGCAACAGAAGCCCCTCTCAATAATGCTTAACAAGAACTCGCTATTTTACGCCATGAGCAAATGAGAAAACCTGAAGATGCATCTCCCTTGTTGATGACCCTTCTCCAACCCATGTTACGCCAGGCCTTGATTCCCTTTAGTGCCGGGTATTGCCCAGATGATCCCATCCAAATAACTGAAACCAATAAACGCCGTTTCATCTGCTAGGTATTCTTTCCAAGCCCACAGCTCTTCCACAACCTTTTACAGCGCTATTTCCTCTGCTCCACTCCATGACGATTTTCCGCCTACACTTCCAAACCTTTCTTTTATAGCCTTCCAGCCATGACTTCCTTCTTGAAGATACGGACGTCCCAAACATCATAAAAGTGGACGCCTTCGACGGTTTCCAGCTTGGTGTTCGCAACTATATCGGTGTCTTCGTCGTCACTATCGCTATCCGTCTCCCAACCCGGCATAGGCAGCGGTGGGAAGCCACCCGGGACTCCTGAACCAGTGGAGGTGCCTGGGCCGCCAAAAGCACCAAAAGCAGAGCCAGCAGGCTTACTCTTGCCCTTCTTGTTCCTCTTCTCTTCAGCTTTGGCAGCCGGGGTCTGCGGTGGCGGGCGGATGATGCGCTCAACCCGGTCATCGTCGATCGAGATCCATTCGAGCTTCATGTGGGGGTGATGGCTCAGATTATCGACAAGGAACTTCCGCGTCTCGCGCATCACCCAAACGCAGGTGTCATCGTTTCTGAACGAGATGACGTTCAAGGCTCGGAGGTTTACAAGCCCTCCGAGATGCTGCATGAATGTGTGCTAGGAGATGGGTTAGTCTAGAACATGCACAGCGTCTCAGACAACTTACCATGGCGCGAATTCCCAGCGAGGCCGCAAGCTCTTCGAGTTGTTTCCCGCGATTACAAATGAGCAGCATGGCCTTCTCGTCCACATCCCAGCTCATTTGAGAATCATTTTTAATCATCAGTCGAGTTAGGGTCGGCATATGCTTCTTGAGAACAAGACGGCGGATCTGGTCCATGACGACATTTGTCTTGGGCGCGAAGCTCTCAGGCTTGTACTTTGATGACCGCTCGAGCATGAACAACTCGGTAATCTGCTCCAGTTGCGATGCAAACGTCAGGAAAGACATAGAGACATTGTCTGTGAAGATCTTGCGCAAGGGGAGCGGCTGCGCCTTGTTTTCCTTGATCAACATGGTCCAAATGGGAGCTTGGTTGCCAACATTCAACAATGTCAGCCTCTTCAGCACTCGCACGTCGATGGCTGCCTTGAATACGGACGCCTTGACTGGGATGAGGTGGACACTGAAGGATCGTAGGGCGACACCTCTGGTAGATCGGATATACTCGCTGATTCTCTCGTCCTCGCCATGTGCTGTCGTGGCTATGCCGTTGACCTGCTTCTCTACTTCACGAATCTCGGCTTCGGTCGCATTCAACTCGGACCTAACGTTCTCGATATCGCGGTAGAAGCCCTGCAACTGATTCTCGGCATATCGAATGTGATCACGGTCAAACGCGCTAGTTGTGTTTCGCAAATCCTCAAGTTTCTCTTGGAGACTTGTGGCTTCGGATAGCAGGTGCTGTAGACGAAGGACCAGCGTTTCGAAGTTCGCCTTTTGAGCTTCCAACGCGGCCTTTGCTCGCACCGTGGTAGGTGATACGGGTTCTTGGTTTGACGAACTCGCCTGGGGAGCAACAGCCTGAACTCTCTCGATTGCCTCAGCCTCATCAGCAGCAATGGGCTCTTCCACGTTGATATCCTCGGGGTTAGAATCGGCTGCCGGGGTCGTCTTGGCCTTGGTGCTGGTGTCTCCACTGATAGTAGAAGCACCAGAGGTCTCAACAGTTGTAGCCGGTTGAGTGCTGGTTGTTGCGGCGGACGATGATCCTGCGCCAGAGTAAGGCCCCGCTTCAGCTGACGCTGTGCTATCGTTCTCCTTCTTCGCTGCCTCCGTCGCCGCTTTCGCCTCCTCTGCTTCCAGATATTTCCGACTGGCTTTCTCGATCATCTCTAGAATCTCTTGTTTTGACCCATCATCTGTATCACCCTCCGCCATGCTTGCCATCAGTTTACCCGAGACCTCCCGCAACCTATTCATGAACGCTTCGGCAGGTGAGCCAGCCTCATGTGTGTCAGCAGGGGCATCGACTTTTGCCTTCCCTTTCAGACTCTTGCGATGCTGTGACTTCTTCGCGAGGAATGGCTCCACGTCCAAGATCCTGCCCAAAACCGACTCCTGGCTCTTCCTCTCTTCTTGCGCGCGAAATGCTCTTGCTGGCCCACTCGCTTCATCCCAACCGGGCGCTGATGGCAGAGGAACGACTTGGAACTCATCGTCCTGGTCGGAATCGTCGGGATCGGTGTCTGGAGGCGGCTTCCGGGATTGCAAAGCGAGATACGTCGAGAAGGACAGTTTCAGTTTCGTTAAAGTCGGCGCCGAATTGCGCACGCATGACTTGATCTCCGTAATAGTATCCAGCGTATCGATATCGAGAACAACCAAAGAATTCAGCTTCCGGAATCCACCCAGCGTTGCGGGTTCATTGGCGGACATCCTGCGCCTACTTCTGGGTGTCGGCTTCAACGCCGGCGGTAATGGGGGGTGAGAGCCGAGAGAAGAGGGGTTGTACGGCGGCGGGACGTTCAACGACATGCTTGCGAAGGGAGGAGGCGGGGGCGGAATCGAGGAGAAGGCCGGCAACGGGTCCCAATGACCTTGAGTCGACGTAGGCGGCGGCAGATTCGTCGAATACGGTAGTGGAGGAGGAGTCTCGAAGAGGGACGGTCCCGCCTGCATTCGAATATGGAGATTCTTAAGCGTCACAATGTGGTGTAACGTCTTGTACACAGGCCGGCTTAGCTCGACCCGAATGTTCCACCTGGTGTCCGAGCTGTCAGTGGCGATGATGCGCAAATAGAGGCCAGTCGTACGTACCTGAAGGTCTCGAGCGACTTGGCATTCTTGAGGGCCAGAAACAACAACGTGTTCATGAACTTGCCGCAGCTGGCACTGTACAAGTATGGTTTATATGCAGCTTCGGCCTTGTCGCCAGCACTGAGGGTGTCGAGGGAGATATCCCGAAGATGCTGGGCATAGTCATATTCGCTCGATACGAAGGTGTCGAGGCCACCAGCCAGGCTGTCGATGGGTGAATCGAAGGATGGGTCATCTTCATCGGGGAAAACGATGTGGAAGTTGCGGTATAGCTGGGCGGCAGCGAGTTCGCGAAAGTGTCTGGAGACGAGGGAGAGGCAAATCAGGTCGCTTTGGCAGCACTAGACGTGGTCAGTTGCATTGCGACATGGAGTATAGGCGTCCGGGAGGGCATACATGGCTGAAGATGTCCTTTTGGGTTTCGGGAGGAAGGTCGAGGAAGTCTAGAGGTTTGGTTGCGGGCTCGGAGGCGGTGGTGGTAGCCTTGTCGCAAGACTGGGCTGAATCCATCGTGGGCGAAGTGTGGCGCATAGGTAGGAAGGGAAGTACGGATACGCCAACTCGATTCGCGATGGGTGGAACTTGCTAGATATGGTCGCCGGAAGTGTAGTGAAGAGGACGGCAGAAAGGGAATCCAAGGCAATCTGGAACAGAAACAAGCGAATTTGTGGAAATGAACAGAAGGCGGCAACGGCTCTGCGTCTGTCCTTGTCTTCTTGTTGCGTGAGGTAAGGTAAAGGTAGGTATCGGCTCGGCCTGCCTTATGTTGGGGAGGGTGAAATGACAGAGACCCTTGAAGACATGGAGACAACGGACAACAGACAATGGCAAGCTGCAAGTGGACGGGAAGATGGAACTTAGGAATGGAAGGCAAGGCAAGACGCGGGCGGGCGAGCAGGGACAGAACAAGTTGCGACTTGCAGGAGACTGGATGGAGTGGAGGAGGGGCGTCTTCGGAGGCGGAGGATGCAGTGGAGCGTCACAGTGGATGGTGGCCGGTGGTCGAGGCGGGAGGTGACGGGGCGGCCACCTAAGGTCGGGCAAGGTTGGTAGCCAGACAACGAACGATGCGCGCGCCCTCGGCCCACCGACAGCGCACGCCGCAAAGGGATGAGGTGGGCTCCAGCCTCCAAGGTCACTGGCAGAAAAGAGGCATGCCACCTGCAGGTAAATGGGTGGTCAATGGCCTCCCCGGGGTCCTCTTCCCTGTGCACGCCGCACGGGGTGGCAGGTAGTAGCCACCTCCTCTCCACTGGAGGGCGAGCAGCTTCCCTAGAATCTTTATGAATATTCGTACAGCACCTCCGTATCATGGCATGGTGACTAAGCATGCTATGGCAGGTTCACTGTCTTTTTGGGCGCTTCGCTAGCTGGCAATGAGAGAAAAGGGCTTAGCGTCTCGCCTGTCATCCTGGCATTCGAGGACCACCTGTATCGTGGACCTCAAGGATGGCTCGCAGCACGCGCAGCCCGCAGCCCGCAGCACTCTAATCCGGCTCCACCTCCCTGCCGTTGCAACTCCCGCCTAGACTCTACGGTGTATCCGTACCTAAGGGTAGGTAACTATCCCATTCTTTCACCTTGCAACTCCCACCTGAGGTCTTTGAGGGATGTAAATACCTGCCTTCATAGACATGTCTCGTCCCTCACAGCTGACGACAGGTCTTTCCTCTACAGCAACGTGTGCCGGTTCCGGCTCAAGTATTCCAGCTGTTCTCCGCAGGACACTCCGAAAGGACTTCATGCCATTGTCACATACATTGTTGGATACTCTGCGCCTACCCATCATCTCAAACTCATATCAAGACCTTTTCTGCCTTAAGGTGTCGATTACTCTGCACCTTCCCGACATCCCAACATTGGTGAATGAGACTGTCATTCAAATATGCCCTCACGCCAGAGAGAGCCCTTGGCAAGCTTGCAGGGTCTCACCTAGACATACGGGGTAACATATTTAGGAGGATGTCGATTGAACAAGCCAGAGTCTTAGGAGAAGACCAAGATATCATCCAACTTGGGTGCATTTTTGGTGTCTCATTCTGCTTACCTCGAAGACACCACTTACTAAGCACAGACAGAGGTAGAGAGAGAGACGATAGGAACGTAGTCTTGGCTAAGTACCTTAAGTTTTACGGCAGCTTACGTTTGCCGTCTGCTAGTGTCGCATTTCCGCGGTAGACATGGTTCTTTACGGGGCGCAATGACGCCTGTGTGGAGAAGCGGCAGCATCAGGAAGTCTCAATCATTTGGAAATGAATTTCACTTTGGCTCAGTCGCTGCTTGCAGCTATACGAAATTGGGCTCTGGAACGGCCTTTTCAACGGCATGTCTATCCGTTGGAGACACCCAATTCTAACACAACGGACGGGATTCTCATGATGGAAGCAAAGAATCCAACACCAGGCAGCCGCCATTCGAGACATGTCGAGCGCTAGACATGGCGCAAGCTTGAGGCAACGATCAGCCTTAGCGCATCCGCTCCAAGGGGAAATCCCCACAATCCCCCACTAGCAAGGCTGGGCTGTGCCGACTGATCCAGCCCAGCCCACCTTCTTAGCACGAATACCTAGGTACCTTAGCACCTTATTAGGTACTCTCCCCATTCTCCTCACAACCTTCATAAGTATCTTCTATCCGTATTCCAAGTTTTTACATAGTGGTAGTGTACAGACGAGGCCAGACCAACCAGGTACAAAGTCCTGGGCTGAGCAGCCTGTCCATAGGTAGGTGTCTGTAGTGTACAGATTACTACCCGGTTTCTAGTGTACCTTGGGTACTGCAATTGTAGTATTCGTAGACACGAACGTGCCATGCCTGGCCCTGGCGTTCCCATGTCTGTGGCTCCATGCTCCTTTGTCTTTCCCATCTCTTCTATTTTAAATAAAGCAGATACCCGTCCCCTCATCCAAAGCTCAACCGCCCCCTTGCTGCTTGCTGTTTCCTGGTCTGTGTTTGCGCGCTTGTGCTGCTTTGCGAACCTGGAAAGAGGCACATACCTTTTACGGATACTTCGTTACGGACACAGCTGCGTGCAACCAACCTTCAGGTCGAGTCCGAATCTGGCCCCGGTTCCTGCAAACCTTGTTGGACTCCTCACGCTTCTCCTCCCCCTTCTCCCTCCTCATCAATTCGTACTTTGTACCGTAATACCTCATCCTGCTCTCGTCTGCTCTTGTTCCCGTCCCCGTCCCTGTCACGGCTGAGATTCTCGCGTCCCGCGCCTGCCAGTCTCCGACCTCCGAACCGGTGGGCCTCCCAGACACCCCGTTCCTATTGCCTGACTGGGCCACCAGTACCACTGCCTGAGGCGAGCCTGCGTTCCCATCCTCGCCTTACATTGTTTGCAACGGCAATCAACCCGAAGGCTGAGAGCATCGCCAGAATCCGACACCTCTCTCCTCCCCCCACACCCATCTCTGTATCGACACCGGGCTTGGTACAGAGGTACAGATACGCTGTACGATTACACTTGTTGGTGGCCGAGCCATCTACCAGCCAATCCTTTGCTTGACTAGCATTCGTTTCCGCCCCCGGGCCACACCGATAGTCGCCCGTCTAGTTTGCTCTCTTTCGTACGGATACCTCGACTACTATTACCTTACCGTGGCACCAAGCACATTTATACAAAGACTATCTGCGATACCCCTCCAACCCATTCGTCTCTTCTCTTTCGTCGGACCCCTGATCGATTGCTCAACCCTCTCGCCCGCTCTTTACAGATCTTGCTCAGCAGCGATACCATCACTGCACTCGTAGTAACCCCGCCGCGCAAAAGTCCCAATCGCCTCTAGAGTTCCGTGACTCAGTCACTGTGGCCTGCCTGCTGCCTATTGCTCAATTGGGACATCGCGCCGCAATCAACACGAACTGGATTGGTGGGGTAAACACCACTAATCGACAGTCGTTTATTTCCTCCATCGTTTATACAAACCACCTGTCCGCACTTCTCATCGCTTTGAGCTGCGGAACACCAACTTTCGCCTTTCACTCGATTTTCCTCACTCAAGTCTCGAGACTCAATCATGGCCGACGTCGAGGAGCCCAAGTTCAACTCCTTGGCTGAACGAATCGCCGCCCTCAATCAGCAAAAGAACTTCCAAGCACCAGAAACAAAGCCCAAGAAGCCTCCTCCACCACCACCGCCAACAAATCGTCCTGTTCCACGCAGCCAGACGCTCCCAGTCACCCAGACCAATGGACTCCCCACGCCGCAGAAGAGTCCCTCGATACCACCTCGCCTGAACAAGGCCGCCGCACCGGCAAAGCCCGCCCCACCACCGTTACCGCGACGAACCACCGATTCATCCCAAGTCGAAACGACAACTTCACCAGCCCCCAGGGATCGCATTGCTCCTCCACCCCTGCCAACTAGGTCTTCGACTCAGCAAATCTCACCAGCTCTGCCCCCTCGGAGGCCATCCACACAGCAGCTGACTGTCCGCCGCAACTCGAACGCTTCCGAAATTTCTAATCTGTCGTCCCTCTCGCTGAACCAAACTGTATCATCGGCAACTAGCATTCACTCGATTGATGGCCCTACACGAAAGCTGCCTCCGACATTGGAACAGGCAAAGCTACCACCCTTGCCACCAACCAAGAGAGAACGAGAAGCTGCTCAAGCAAAAGAAGCCGCCGCTCAGCAGCCCAAGTTTCCCCTTGTTTCGGTCAAGTCATCGCCTGCAATCCGACAGATTGAGCCTCCTCAGAGACCAATACTACCCCCACGATTAACCTCCAAATCGACCACACAGCAAGTTCACCGACAGACGCTGGAGGAAGAAGAACCGGCAAAGCCACGAAGATTACCTCCGCCACCATCGGCATACGTTAAGCCACCGCCCCCGACGACAAACGGCCATACGGCTCATGATCAACAAGGCAACGACCGGCCGCCTTTACCAGGAAGACGACCGACCGCGAATGATGACGCACCTCCTCCTGTTCCCCTCAGCTCCCGGCCAAGCGCCGCGCAAATCGAGGCGATCTCGGCTAGAGTGATTGAGCGTGCAAATGACTGTCTGATCTGTCGCGACTTTTCCGGGCCGGATGGTGTTGCTGCTCAGTATCCCATACACGTCCTACCAAGGAACGATCCTGTCGGCTACTTGGCTCAGATGCTCTGCGGACCCTTCGCGTCACATACAGACAAGGCGCGGGCGATTTTCACCTGGTTTCACCATAATATCGCTTACGACTGCGCAGCCTTCTTCGGCAATAACATCAGGGGTCGCTCGGGAGCTGAAACAATTCTCATGGGCAAAGCGGTCTGCTCAGGATATGCAGACACGTATAGAGAAATCGCCACTCGTGCGGGTCTCGAGTGTATCACGGTTGTGGGCCACGGAAAAGGGTATGGATATACCGCGCTAAAGAAGGGAGAGCGTCCGCCGCCGAAGAAGGCTGACGGCCATGCTTGGAATGCGGTTCGAATCGATGGCGGGGAGTGGAAATTGCTCGACGCCTGTTGGGGTGCCGGTAACGTTTCTGACGTGACAAAAGACTACACTAAGTCTTTCAAGCCGCACGAGTTTACACGGAGGAACGATATATTCGGACTATCGCATTACCCATCCGATGCCCGACATTTCTTCCGGCCCGATGGCAGAGTACCGTCCTGGGAAGAATACTACATCGGCACAGTACACGGCGACAAACCCATCGTATACACTCATGCGTACGAAGAAGGCGTTTGGG